TCTGTGGCCCTTTCTCTCCAGATGGCACTCAGCATGATCTCATGCAACAACGCTTGGCTATCTTGCCAGTCCCCTCTGCAAGTGACGTTCTGGTCATCTGTGTTTAACCCAGCACCCCACCATGTGGGGAAGTAGGGAGAGAAGTCAGCAGTAGAGAGCAGAGAAGAAAGAAGGATAGAAGGGGCAGCCTTTGACAGATCACTCCAGGCGGGGGGGGGAGGGTACAACTCTCCATGTGGGGGACTCCCCCCCAGGTTTAATTTGACCCAAAGCCACCCTTTTGCTTGCCACTGTGATGGTCACTGGCAGTGGTGGTCTACATTTGGTCAACTGAAACATTACACTACCTCAGGCTTAGACACTCACCACCAGCAGCCCACCCACTCCTGCCTGCCTCCATACCAGATGCAGAGGAACAGCGACCTACCTGCTGGACTCTCAAACACATTCTCTCCCTCCCTCCCTCTCTTTCTCTTTGTGTGTGGGGGGGGGCAGGGGAGGAGAGGGAAGGGGGAATAAGATGAGGGAAGGTGAAGGAAACAAGAAATTGTATACCAGTGAATAAGTCACCTGCTCAACTTTGAAACCAGGCACAGAGGGAAACAGCAGTAGGAGCATCCCTGATTTAGGGACAAGATGTGTTTTTCTGCTCTCCAAGCTGAGTTGGGTGGTGAAGAGGATGAGGGAGAAACCGTGAATGTCAACCTGCTTCTCTCTCTCTCCCTCCCCCTCCCTCCCTCCCCCCCCTCTGTGTGTGTGTGTGTGTGTGTGTGTGTGAGAGAGAGAGAGAGGAGAGAGAGAGAGAGGGGGTGGGTGTGTACGTATGTGTGCACGTGCATGTGTACGCATGTGTGCATACTACCTTCTCCCCTTGGTTCTCCCTGTCCCCTCTGATTCCATTCACCATTGGCTGTTGTGTCTCCTGTCCTGCCAGCCACCACTGGCAGTTGTTTTTCTAGAAAAAGGTTCTTTCAAAGCTGCTTTGCCTCCTCCAAATGGAACTTCTGCTCTATTACTGCCTCCACCAGATGGTTGTGTTTGTGGACTCTGTTAATTTAGTGTTGAGGAGAACCACTGTGCATATTCAAATAGAGACCTCTTTTTGTCTGTTGTAGCTTTGGGATGCTACGTACCAAATCTCAGATTTGCTATAAGTATCCTGTTTCCCTGAAAATAAGACCTAGCCTGAAAATCTATAATATAAGCCCTACCCCCAAAATAAGCCCCAGTTAAGGGAAACCCCACCCTCCACCATTGTGCAGCAACCAGAAGATGACATGACTGTCTTTGAATAAATGTAGATTGTTGTACATGAAAAAAATAAAACATCCCCTGAAAATAAGCCCTAATGCATTTTAGGAGCAAAAATTAATATAAAACCCTGTCTTATTTTCAGAGAAAAACAATATTGATTCTAATGTGCCTTCCTTTATTGTACCCTGCCAGAGGTGTCAGCCCACATTTTTGCACTCAAAACCTTCCTTGGTAATGCTGATCCAGCCATCCTTCTATGTGTTCAGTTCTCCTGGTTTGTTAATTGTTTCCTTTCATCAGCAAGATGCCCCGTGCAGGTTGGGAGCAACAGGCAGTCCCGCACCATGAGCTATGCCATTTCTGCCTTTTCCCCTCAAGTCCAGCTTGAAAATTAACTGAGAGCCTGCACTCCTCCATACCCCTCCTATCTCTGGAGAATATCAAACTAGACCTGGGGAAACCCAGCTTCGAAACCCTGCTTAGTCATGAAAGCCCTTGGGTGCGCTTGACTCAGACACTACCTTCTTCTGCCCACTTTAACTCATTGGATTGTTGTGGTGATAAACTGGGAGGTAGAACTAAGGTAGGTAGGTAAAGATAAAGGTTCCCCTTGACATTTAGTCAAGTCATGTTCAACTCTAGGGGGCGGTGCTCATCCCCGTTTCCAAGCCATAGAGCCAGCGTTTGTCCGAAGACAATCTTCCGTGGTCACATGGCCAGTGCGACTTAGACACGGAACGCTGTTACTTTCCCACCATGGCGGTACCTATTTATCTACTTCCATTTGCATGCTTTCGAACTGCTAGGTTGGCAGGAGGTAGGATAGAAGTGCAGTAAACAAACCACCTTTGCATTTCTGTGTGTTCTGCAAAGTTTTGAACATGGCTTCATGGAAAAGCACTGTCTAGAAAAAAAGACAATTAGGAAACTGGTTGTCCTAATCATCAGGCGGATTATCATCTTCATTCTTATGGCTCCACTAGCTTTGTTCCCAAATGCCAACATTAAGGGGGTGTTGTTAATACTTAAATCCTACCTCCTGAATGTATGTTTGCGTAAGCTGGTACATTGCCAGAGTGATTTGGCACCAATGCTCTGTTGTGTTTTCCAGTTGAAATCAATACTGGGAACTTTAGAGGCAGATATGCATTCCAGTGGTTTCCTCACCATTGTGAATTCAAGGCTCTGATGAAAGTCATATCTGAGCAGAGATTGGAGAAGTCCTTTTATATATTATGATTCTCAGAATTCACCCACCCAGATCTGGGTGTTGTAGGCCCAAAGTAACTTTTCTGAGCTCAGTGTCTGAGTGACTTTTCCAAGATGTTGTAGCACATATAGCCATCCAGATGTTCAGGCATTCCCCTCATGCTTCTTATTATGTCAGCAGAAGAGGACTTTCGGGTGGGATGGTTTGTAAGTCTTGGAGGTGCATCTGAAGCTTGCATGCATTTCCCAACCAGTTCTCCCTTTGATTTTACAGCAGCTGCATTTTGACCCAAAGTGAGGGGCAATCATGTATGGGGCTGTGTGATTCTAGCTTCAGAAGCCAGCAGTGCATTGCTTGTGCATGTTCATGGTCTTTCCTCTCTCTCCAGCCTCACTTATATTTTGTTGAATTGGTTGAAGAGAAACCATAGCAAAGACTTTACCTAATTCTGCCAGCTCAGTGTTTCTTGTGCTTTAACGGAATGTATATTCTGACCCAGTTAAGCAAAACTATTGTAGTTTTTCTCCTGGATGATCTCCAAGCCTTTGCCACAAAACATTAATGTGTTGCTGTCATAGCCAAAATGCAATTTCTCTGAAATTCTCAGCAAGCATTTAAAATCAAAGCCATGTAATGCTTGAGGAGCTCATTACAGCCATGGTTGTTCTTGAATTATGAGATTTTTTTTAAAAAAAGTCCATTTTGGATAATAATGAGTTCCTCTGTGGGGTGGAAGATCCCAGCTTTCTTCCTTTCATATGGCTCTTGCAAATAGATAAAGCAATTTTTGTGCCATTTGAATGTTTGGCCATGTTTTCCTAATTCTTCGCAGCATTCAGCAAGGTGGACCATTGTTCCCATTTTACAGAAGAGAAGGATGGGCTGAGACAAACAGGCCCCGAGCTTTTGCTTTATGTCTGTCTAACCCAAGGTTGTCGACTGGGCTTTTGAGATCTCTTTCTGTTTATACCGCTGTGCTCTTCACTTGCGTTGCAAACTTGCCATTAACGCAAAGGGGCCCTGACCTCCGGAAGGATTCTAACTATTAGGGGAAAAGAGTTTTCTTCCATAGGGACTGAACTGGCTGTTCTTGTTCTATTGTTCTGTGAACAATGAAGACCTCTTAAATGAATAGGGCTGAGGAGAGGGGGACAGAGAGGGAGTGAGTTGAAATAATACCTTGAGCCAACAAAAACCAGGAAATGTGGAGCTACCATTCTTTAAATGAATTCACAGGCAGAGTGAAAACAAACTCTTGAGTGACCAGCCGTTAATTATGGGGGTCCTGGCTTTTACTATGGAAGGAAGGCAATTTCAAATAATACTTAATTCCTTTTGTATACTATTCCCCCATCTGTCTCACACAGATGTGCATGTGAAGGGTCATGAAAAGCAGCAATGTATTTCGTGAAGGAGTTTTAAGCTTGGGTATTTTAATTGGTGCCCTAGGGACCAACAGCGGGCACTCCTGCAATATAGCAGCTGAACACACTGCTGGGTGAGGAAACAGGGGTACTCATGAGTCTTCTGGAGCTATTATAGCTGGTCTTTAGGCAGTACTCCTCCAAACTGGAGTCCCTGATTTAGCTGCAGCCTTTTCTATACATACTGTACTTCCAAGTCTAACTTGAAAAAGGTCTACGTCATTGACATGTTGCTGGGATCTGCAGGGCTAGCCTGCCACCTGCTGGCCAAATAGGAAACAACATTACAAACCAATGCCGGCATTCCAATCAACTGGTATTTTTGTAGGCATTTGTGGGGCAATTTTAGAATGAGTCATTTGGCAGCCAGGTGTATGTAAAGTCTTTCTGGAAACTAGTTTAAAGGTTACATTCTGGCCCAGGCTGAGTATTACAGCTTGCCTTGATACAATATAACATGCTCATGCAAATGGTTATGGTGCATTTCCTCTTAAGGTAACACAGCTCCATATGTCAACTACAGGTTGAATGTAATTTTTTGCACATCTCCTCCTACACCCAGGCTATGCAGCTGTATTGATGTCAGCATCTTCCCAGTGTGGTGTGGGCTTGTTCTCCCATATACCCCGTTGCCATTTCTTTTCTAGATGCAAAAAGACCAACATTCTACCTTCATATAGTGGCCTCATTACATATCCTTGCACAGCAAACTGTAGCTACTAAAATTGTATCTTCCACAAAATTAGGAAGACTGGGGAAGCTTGTTTCCCCATACCCTGAGTTTTGAAACTCAGTTTTTCTGGATTGCAGTTCCCAGAATCCTCCAGCCACTGTGGTCAAGGAGATGCTAGAAGTGTGATTGAAAAAGTAACTTTCTGGTGACCATCTCCTGTCCCATATATATGATCACCATACCTTTCTCCTATGAATGAGAAATGATGAAGTTCCAATAACCACAATGCCTACACATGCAAAACAGCAATGGTGACAACAGTAACAGCAGCAATTGATCTGTGTTAACAGACCAGTGCCATCTAGTGGGCAGACGAGTTATCGGTCTGTATTTGGAATGGCTGTGTCCGGCTAACCTGGCTCTTTGTCTTGTTCTCCAGCTCCCCGTGCCCATTGCAGTGTTCCTTCTGCTCTACAAAGAAAGGCTGGTGCCTTGCTGCCATAAGGACAGCCCCCCCTTGCTGCCTGCAGATGAGCTGGCATTGGAAACGCGAATAGCTGACAGAGATGACTCGTCTACTTCCTCACCAAAACTTCAGTCAGAAATAGGTGAGAGCTGCTGTACCAAGTTTGACACAGATGGAGTCCCCCGTGTCTCTTCTCCTTGCATGAGCTGGTGCTGAAACAGGAAAGAGTAACTGTGTTGCTGCTTGAAGGGCTGAGACAAATGATGGCAGAAGGTATCGTTTGTGGATTGTTCTGTAGAAAAAGTCTAGTGCTGGTAGTTGGTGTTAATCTCAAATCCCAGCCTGTCCACCCCCCAAAGCATCTTCTAAAATGACTGCCAGGGTGAGAACTGTTGACGATACAGATATTTTGGACAAAGCCCCTCTAATTCCTCATCTGTATTGGGTGGGCTGATGAGGGAGATGGTGTAGGCTAAAACACCTGGAGGCCAAAGGTTCTGTATCCCGTATGTATGCAGGGAATGTGAGTTATTCAAAGTTATATGTTCACACCGTTTAGAAAACCCAACCAACATCATCTTGAGTGTGACAGCAACATCCTAATCTATCTTGGTAGTTCTAACATAATCCCTGGAACCTCCATGGATGTGTGAAGTAAAACCCATCCCATCTCCAGAATGGTTTATCCTTGACTTCCCTTCCCACCATCCATGGCAGGTTCTTCTGCTGTTGTTTACCCAGTCAGTACGATAGTAACGCCTTGGGTGTCATTGCAGTAGGATCTCTCTCGAACTACCATTTAGAGATAGTAGAAGAGGGACTCTTTGTCAGTTTGGGGCAATGTATTTTGCCCACATTGCATCCACATAAGGGTGGTGTTTTACCCTCTGGGTAAAGGCATCAGTTTCCCTAATTGGCAGTGACTTTCACTAATAAAAGAAGAGCAATTATCATCTCACACAGGGTTGCTTTAAGATGAAGAGCAGATGGTGGGTTCCAAGAAGGGTATTACAGAATCCTTACGGTAAGGCATTCCTGTGTGCCTACTAATGGCATCTGTATTTGCTTGGTGGTTTTCTTGTACTGTGTAGCAGCTTACATGCATATGTGGACATATTTGAGGATGGGAGGCAGTTCATATTCAGGCCAGTTGCTCTGTTTGCACCAACATATTATGTATGCGCGCTGCAACGTATGTGCGCTGCAAACTCAGGGCCCCCAACCCATGTGGCAACAATGTGCAACAACAAAAAAATCTTGTGGCATCTTCCAAGATGTAACAAATACATTCCTGTGTGAGTTTTCATGAGTTACAATCCACTTCTTCAGACACATGAAGTACAATATCTAGCCACAGGCATATATTCAGCATACATGGTGTGGGGATCAACCTCTACCATTCAGCCCAAGGCTTCTGGGAAGCTTCTCCATCAGACGTGAAGGCAACTATACTCAACTGCTGCCCAAAATTCACTTATTTCTGAGTGAAATTGCTGTGTGTGAAAGTCTTTTGCATCCTATTTAGATACCATTCACATTCTTTATTTATTTACACTATTTCATTCCCCCTCCCAGCCTTTCTCTTAAAAAAGGACCCAAAGCAGCTTACATCATTAAAAGCTAAAAATGGTAAATTATTCAAATATTTAAAAGAGATTTAAATAAACATTACAATGCTAGGTAAAAGCATTGCTAAAACAGATTTAGAAGTGACAAAAATTAAATCCATCCCATTTTAAAAACTGTCTTAGACAGCTAGTTATTCAAGGAAAGTTTGCCTGAAGAGAAAGTTCTTCGTCTGCTTGCGGAAGGAGAGCAAAGATGGGACCAAGCTGGCCTCCTGTGGAAGGGAAGCCCACAGTCTCGGAGCAGCAACAGAGAAGGCCCTTTCCTGTGTCTCCACCAAGCAGACTTTGATTTCTGTCCAGGAATGGATTGACAGCCAGTGGAACTGCTGTAACAGGGGGGCATGTGATCCTTGTGACCAGCTCCAATTAACAGTCTGGCTGCAGTGTTTTGGACCTGCTGGAGTTTCTGAACCTTCCTAGAGGTAGCCCCACATAGACCAAGTTAGAGTAATCCAGCAGTGATGTAACTAAGGCATGTGTCACCGTGACCAGATAGAGAACTCTCCAGGAATGAGTGCAGCTGGCATACTAGTTGTAATTGTGCAAAGGCATGCCTGGCCATTGTTGACACCTGGGCATCCAGGCTGAGAGACGACGGATCCAGGCGCACCCAAAGCTGTGCACCTCTGTTTTCAGAGGGAGGGTAACCCCATCTACTGTAGCACAGGCTGAATCCCTATTCCTTGCACTGCCTTTTGACTGACCAGGAGCACCTCTGTCTGGTCTGGAGTTTCAATTTATTCGCCCTCATCTTGTGCATGTGTGCAACTTGTCTCATATTTGAAGGACTTAAGAACTAAAGCAAGGTGAGATTCTAGTGACTCTGGGGATCTTCCCAGCTGCCCATCTCTAGCAGTTAGCCTTGGACAAAGAACAACCCCATCAGTTCCAATGGGAGGCTTTTTAAAGTCTTGATGGAAGCACATTAAACCCCTCTGTGAGGGTTAAAGGTTAATTGTTCCCACCTCATTTTCTGCATGTGCTCCTTCCCCAGAAAAATCACTCCATTTGTTCCAACAAAACCCAGACTTGAAAACAGGCCCTTCAAATGGGGGGAGAAACTGTTTATAGCCTAATTACTATATGTGCATATTGATCAAATGTGTGTAAATCAGGGAGGTACACATTCTTTGTCTTGCTAAGGCAAACAACAGCAAACGTTCTCTCCTCTTGAGTGTCTTTGCATCCCAAGTAGCCTTGTACTGTAGTCATGCACAAAAGTAGCTGATTTTGCACATAAAACAGTGCAAAAACAGACTTGCAGCTGTCTGTGTGTCATTCTCACTGTGATTGTGAGGAATTCTACAAATGCAAGTTTTTGCAAGTATTCTCCACCTCCTTAGTGTAATGTGGCTTTGTCCCATTTCCTTGCTGGCATATGGCCATGAGAAGTTTATCTATGAAGGAATGCAGTCCTTTGGGTGCGAACAGCACTCCACCCTTGGAGTAAGCAAGGAAGTGCTTGTTTTCTTTCTGCAGATGGGGAGTTAAGGTGCCAGAGGTACATTCTTCATCGCATCTTTTAAGGCTAACAGGTACTTTGATTTTGCCTCAGTGCTAGAAATATGCCCCATCCCTGCCACTTTCAGGTTCTGAGGCTCCTAGAGCTTCCTTTTGTCTTGAGGAAGCCTTTGGGAGCCTCGAGATGTGGGGAAGGGAAGTCTTCAATAGTTTTAAAAAAATCACCACTGGAGGGCCACTGCTGGGATCAGGACCACCAGCAAGTGACCTGGTGGTGATCTTTGACTATTACAGGCTCCAACTCCATCCTAAGTCTCCCAAAAAGCTCCTCTGGGGCAAAAGGGTGCCTTGGAACCTGAGAGCAGGGCAGGTGGACAGGAAGCTAGTACTAGTTTAAATTAATTATTGCTGAATCTGGTTTATGTGGCATAACTTTATGCCAACAGTATTTTGCCCATTAAGTAAGATACTCAGCTGCAGAGCCGGAAGCTGAGAGTTCGATTCCCCACTGTGTTTGCTGGAAGAAAGGCCAGCCTTGGACAAGCTGCACGGTTCTAGGTTGCCCCAAGAGGAAGGGGATGGTAAACCACTTCTGAGTACCCTTTACCTAGAAAACCCTGAAAAGAGCTGCCGTAAGTCAAAATCAACTTGGCAACATGTAATTTATTATGAATGTCCTAAAAAAGTGTCCAACTGGAAATGACATGTATAAGATGCCTATTTGGAGGGGGAAGGGGCAATGCAACGGCTAGAACATTGAGCGATAGATGGGTGAGTCTCCATCTTCCTAGACCTTAGAGTATAAGGCCAGAAACAGATGTTAGAGATAGCCCGTGACTGGAAGCCTTAGCAGCGCAGGCGCATCCACAAACAATGAAGATTTTTCCAAGTCAAGATGAATACGAATTGAAAAGGAAACACCTACAAGGTTTGACAGCACCATGGACCTCCGAGAGGAACTGGGCACACGAGGACCCACATCTGAGAGGCAACCTCTCCCTCTAAAGCTGCTGAGATATCTCAAAAATCCAGAACATCAGTGTACTAATCTGATATGAAATCTAAGCTAAATCAAAGCAGAATTCTGATGATTTTTACAATGTATGAGACAATCAAGTTTCATTTGAATCCAAACTCTTGAATGTCACATTAAGTACATTCCAACACACACATCAGTGTTTACTCATTTATGTTGGAGATGGAGAAATCTGTGGCCCACTCTACACTGCTAGATTGCATCTCGTGTTATCCCTCTGTACCAGCTATGCTGGCAAAGGCTGATGGACACAGCAGTTCAACAATATTCTCCCTTCCTGACTCCTGTGTTCCTGTAATAAAGGTCAAGTCTCTCTCTTGCCTGTGGGCATTATAAACTAATAGCAGAACCAGAAACTTCCAGCAAAAATTGGTGATGGCTATTGTCCAGCCTTTATAATGAGTCAAAGTTCCTAACATTTAGCGGCAGCTGTGGTACAAATCAAAAGAGCTCTTGACTAACCGCAAATCGGCACCCAAGCTCACAGGGCATTGTCTTCTCTCCCAGGGCACAATGACCTCTTTGGTTGCTGCCAGAGCAAGAACTTCAGAGGAGCTCCTTACTCCTACTTTGCTGTCCATGTGACTGGAGCCCTTCTCCTCTTCATGACTGATGGGATCCTGGTAAGGACTGTGTTGAACTCGCATCTACACAATAGTTTCCTAGAGTAGATTGAATGGGTTCTTTCTAGAATGTCTCATTTTCCTTCGTGTTGCAGAGTTCAAAAAGTTCTTTTTTGGACTGTAACACCCAGAATTCCTCAGTGGCAACATAAGGGGATTTTGGGAGTTCTCATCTAAAAAGTAGCTTATTCTGTTTTTAGCAGTTCTGTAACTGTTCTGCCCTCCAACACACTATTTACTTGCTGCTAGGTCATTATTGATAACATTCCTTCAGTCCAAAGTTTGTGAAACCTATATTCAAACAAACACTCTGTAATACCTTCTCGAAGGCTTTCATGGCCGGGATCCAATGGTTGCTGTAGGGTTGTTGTTGTTTTTTTTAGTTATTTATTTACTTATTTTTTGAGGCTGTTTGGCCATGTTCTGGAGGTTTTTCTTCCTAACGTTTCGCCAGTCTCTCTGGCCAGCCTCTTCAGAGGACAGAAATGGGAACACAGAGAAGAGTTCTAACTCCTGTCCTCTGAAGATGCCGGCCACAGAGACTGGTGAAACGTTAGGAAGAAAAACCTCCAGAACACGGCCAAACAGCCCGGAAAACCTACAACAACCACTCTGTAATATCATTTGTCATTTATATTTGATTTTGCATTCTCTCATTTGATTTAATTTCAGCTACTTATAATGTAGAAAATCGGACCTTTATTTAATTGCCCAAGACTGGCAGTGCAATTGTTACTGAAGCTGCAAGTTTCAGTAATTCCTCACAACATGTGGAATTCTAGCTTAGTTAAATATCACTATAATTTCTATTAAAGCTCTGTCATGTCATCCTTCCATGCACTATGCTGAGGACGTTAGGAGTGTGTGCTTTTATGTTTTTGTAGTTATTGCCTTACTGTCCATCAGGCTCTGCTTAACTATATGTAGAAAGAAAGAAAGGTACATGTAGTGTTGTAGAAGCACCTGTGCAAGCAATTCTGACATAAGGTTTTATATATCTCCTCCAGGGCGAGTATTCTGGTTTTGTATACAGCTATGCTGTGGAGGAGCCCCTCTCAGTGGGGCACAAGATGGCCGGCTATCTGCCCAGTCTCTTCTGGGGATTTATTACACTGGGCAGGCTCATCTCCATCCCTGTGTCCTACAGAATGAAACCAGCAACCATGGTTTTCATCAATGTGGTATGGCCAGATCTGGCTCTTCTTTCTTGTTAATGCTGCAGAGAAGGAATAACTTTTGTCAAGAAGGCAAATTCTTGTGACTGCACTATCTGGTCTAATCAGGAACTAGTATCTCATTTGGAAATGGCAGTGTTTGCTGTCTATCTACCTGTCTACAAATGTTTTGTCTCTCTATTACATAGTGGTGTTAGTCTGTTACAGTATTTTGCCAAAATGTGTCCATTGTTCTTAAAAAAGGAATAAAATGTTTAAAAATGTTCATGCTCTGATTCAAATAGCAATGAGCTAACCACGAGCTGCTTAGATATGGGACAGATTTTCTGTGAAATTCAACCAGTGCAGTAAAAAAGAGACTAATCATTTTAATATTTTAATTGGTTTGAACTTTACTTGTATTTTTATATGTCCATAATTTTAAAATCTACAATGCTCTGATATGAATAAAAAGACAATGATGATGATGATGATAGCAACATTAGGTTGGATCCATATTGGTCATTTTGTTAAAAAAAATAAATCCTTTTTAGAGCTTCAGTTGATCTCCCTGTCTTTCCATTTTATATCATTGCAGGTTGGAGTGGTTGTAACGTTCTTCCTGCTACTGATCTTTTCCTCCAGCGTTGTGTTTTTATTTGTGGGGACAGCTTCCCTTGGCCTGTTTCTCAGCAGCACTTTCCCTAGTGTGTTGGCTTACACAGAAGACATTCTTCAATATAAAGGTAAATAAATCAAAGGCTCCCATTTCTCTCTACCAAGGGGAAAAAAGCTGCAGCAGAGAAAGTAAAGCTCTCGCAATGGAAGATTTTTTTTAATTCCTAAAGCAAGTTTATTCCTTGCATTGACAAGTGACTTGTGAATGACCACTTGCCCTCAGTGTTGATGCTGGTTTCCCTGAGAGAAACATGCTCGAGATGGAAAAAGCTCTCTATGTGTGTTTAAAGATGGGACATAAGCATTCTGCTATGTTGGTGCAGTCTTCATTACATCATTTTGTGGTGTTTTTTAAAATCTGCACTTGTTTTTAATTGGTGTAAGCTTGAGTCTCCCCTTGAGGAGCTCAATCCAATAAATATGAACTCCTGGTTTAAACCAAGAATGCAACTTGTGTCTTTTCTATTTCCAGGTTGTGCCACTACCGTGTTGGTGACAGGAGCAGGAATCGGAGAGATGGTTCTACAGTTGCTGGTCGGGTCGGTAAGTGCATTAGACAAAATGCCAAGACTAATAGATGTGAGCTATCTTAAATGACCCAGTGACCATCTGTCACCGCTTCTGATGGATTCTCATGAACTCTTGCCAGAGAACATCATAAGAAGGAAAGCAGCTAGCTGCATTAAACTGAGCATGGTCAGTAGTCTGTGTAGCTCAGTATTGTCTGGATAGAGTTGACAGTACCCCTTTTGGGTTTCAGATGGGAGTATTCCTTACCCTAATTTTGAGATGCTAAGAATTTGAACCAGGGCCATCTAAATGTCTACCACTGGGCCATATCCAAGTCTGAACATGGTCTGTAGTGCAGTTGGCTTGTCTCTTGGTTATACAGAAATGGAGAAGCCCAGCCCTCCAAATGTTTTTGACTAGCACTTCCCACTCTCCTGACTTTGGTCAAGCCAGCTGGTGCTGATGGGAACTATAGTCAACGTCTGAAGAATCACTTCCTCCACAATCCTAAGTGGCAGGCAGCTGGTGGGGAATAGCAAAGAGCTCTTGCGCCGGGGGGGGGGATTCTTTATTTATGCGAGTGCTGCTCATGTTTTCTAAGTTTTTTGGAAAACCAGGCTTGTTGACAACTGACATTCAAACAGCAACATAACCTGTCTAGCTTCTCCAGCTTACTTCCCATTGAGCTCAAATAGCTCTCATTCATTCATTCATTCATTCATTCATTCATTCATTCATTCATTCATTCATTCATTTCCCATCTAGCTACCAAAATCACTCAGGTAGCTTAATGTGATTAATAACTATTATCATGTGCCATTAAGTCAAGCCTGGTTCATGGTGACCCTTTCCAGGGTTTTCTAAGCATACTGTACTCAGAAGTGGTTTACTATTCTCTTTTCGAGGCATTCTGGGACTATGTATCTCACCCAAGGCTCTACAGGCTGGCTGTTCTCCTGAGGCATTGAACGCCCAACCTCCGGCTCTGCAGCCAGATACCTTTGAGCTATCCAGCCAGCTGTTTGTGAGACTAGACTAATAGAACAGAGAGAACGAGGCTCAAATCCCTACTTAGCAATGAAGCTTGTGAGTGAACTGGATGAGTCAAGTCTCAGTCCCTCTCTCAGCCTAACCTGTTTCTCAGGATGGCTATGAGAGGAAAACTGAGGTCTGTGTGGAGAGCGCAACATATATTGTCCCAAATTCCTGTAAAGAAAGACAGGATATAAATGTAGTTAATATATACTGGCACACAACCAATGCAAATTTTCTTGAGGGAACAGGAGGCCTCATTCCATGTTCCTGGTTGGAAAACAGGAGGAAATATTCTTCTATTTATAATCACATTAGGTTTTAAAAGGAATAGGTTTATGGCATTCTTACAGAAACTAGCTGGTACACTTCTTAAGCTTTCTCCCATTAGTCCCCTGGCAGGTAGAAACCCTGGGGAAACAGATGGCCCTTCCCACCTTCCACGGAAGGTCTGACAGTCTGGCTGAGACAACCCACTCAGGGGAAATGGTTCCCATATAACCTCCGTCAGCACTGCTGGGGCAGTTTGATATTGCTGTTGCTCTAATCTGGCTGCTTGCTTACCGTGGCACTGTGTTGCTCTCATTAGTTTCTAAGGCTGTACTCCAGGGCTTCAACAGAGCTTTGTTTTTTCTTCGTTGACAGATCATTCACGACCTGGGCAGCTACAGCTTCCTGGTCTGTGGCACCATCTTTGGAACCTTGGCCTTTATTTTCTACATCTTCCTCCTGTTTTGCCACAGGATGCACCCTCATCCCCAATCAGGTAAGAACTGCCAGCCCCTTGCATTTCTGTAAAGAAAGGGAAAAGGGTGTCTATGCTAGCATGTAGCTGTCTGAATTTTAAAAATGCAAGGAAGGGCTTATTTTACAGCTGCTTCCTGTTCTTTCTTCCTGCTTGGAGTGGGCCACAATGCTCCAGCCTCCAAACAGCCGTTTTACTTTTGGATCGGTAGTCCAGGAAAATGAAGCCTATTTTATAGGTGGGAAGTGAGTTTGGAGTAAAAATCCACATCTGGGGTGGAAATAGGTAGAAAGCATGTAGTATTCTCTTTCTTAAAGGATGGCTTTTGTGCTTTCTTCCCACCCCCGCCGCTGTCGCTGCCAAACAGGAACTGAAAGGAAACTCTTTTTTTTTCTTTTTTGCAGATATGGATCTATCACCTGACAAACCACCACCAGTAGGGGAACATGGACTTTATCAGAGCTAAGTTTGTATTTGGATCTAGCACACAAGCCACTCTCCAACTGAAAGATTTGTTCTCGCCACCAGGGTTTAAAACTACCTGAATTTTCTACAGCCAGACTTGCTGGCTACAACTCTTCCCATCAACCAGTCATCCATTATTACCAGAGAAAATTGACTTCAGCAAGAACCAAAAGTCAAACTGCAGAATACCAGAAGGGAAGTTTTAACTCCTCTGGTAAACTCCTACATCCATTTAGGAGTGCAGGTTTGGGGGGGGGAGGAGTATCATTTTATAGGCCTTGGGTGGGTTGGGGGTCTCCTAGAGTTTTTGAGCAGTATAACCAGGAGGCAGGTATATACAGGGGATACCCCTTCATAATGTGATAAGCTGCAAACTGTTCCTTCCAGGACAATAAAGAAACTCTGTCCCTGGGCTTGTATACAGCCAGCTAGAATTTTTTTAAAAAATTGATCAAATATTGACCCAGGGTTTCTGTAATCAAATCTTGCATCCTCAGATGAGATTTTACTATGTCCATGTGGTGGAATGGTCCAGGTGATGGTATAGTATAGCTGATGATGGCTAAAGCTCTGTTGAGCTGGAGTATGCTGATTTTTCAAAATTAGCACAGTAGAAGGAATAAGAGGTCCTAACTTTTTTATTAGACAGAATGGCCTAACTCCTATGAAGTATGAAAGTTCTGAAGCACATGAAGCCAAATGTCAAGTTTTTCCCCCATTTGTGCAATATAATAATAGGTGCCTTCCAGGAGTAGAGCTTGAGAGGTACTAAATATCCAGACAGTAGCAGTCATTTTCATGGCTGCTATAAATGAAGGTATTGGGACAATTTCAAGACATAGTTCTGCTAATGCTAAGTTCATTTTTGTTGCAAATGCTGTCCCATGGATATACTTGTGTATGTAGATAAAGGAATGTTTTGATATTGATTGTCATTGTCGCATGAACTCGTGGAGTGACTTATGATGGGGCCCAGCAACTTCACTCAGAGTTTGTTTTTCCCCTTCAGGAGGCTTGTTGCACTGCTCATTTCAAAATTGTACATTTATAGGAATTTGTGTTTCCAGTCAGCTTACAGATTGCTATGTTGCATGGGTATGCACTTTCATCTTTGATTTCCATGTTGTTTAAACCTTAATATACACCTTCCTTGATTACAGAGCTTGTGTGTTCTTCTGGCTTTTGTATAGCATGGACACTGAACCTTTCTGGAGGACCATTTGTGTCTACCGGCCAGTGGGATTCTTGGGCTAGAATACAAAATTGACTGTAATCTGATTCAGCAAAGCATGATCTTCAACAAGACAAAGCAGGAAAGCCTCCTTTAACAGGGGTTATTGAACCTTTTGCACTTGACAGCTAGACGTTACTAGAACAAGTACACCCAAGGCTTGGGTGTTCATGTTCCCTCCTTCCCAGACCTGCAAGGAGAGTATAAGCATCTCCTGGTTTGTAACAAACCACAGTTTGCTAGGTGTGAACCAAACCATTGTTTGATATAAACTTAACACTGGAAGCCTTTTATCTTATCCTACAATACACAGTGAGAAAGGCATGCAGAAGCCTATGTTTATACCTGCTTGTTCTTATATTTTAAAAAAAAACACTATTTGGTGTTACATTTTAAGGTGTTTAGAGTGCAACTTTCTATGTAAAAAAATCAGAAATAAATATGTATTTTGAGATCATAACTTACGACAAGACATGAATTATAGTTTAAACTGTATATAGCAACAACAGCAGATAGTCTCATTTCATGGTGTGGGAAAATACTGGTTTTTTGAGCAACCAAGAGTTTCTCTCAGAATTAAAGTGTATTTTTCTCCTTTGTCTAGTCCATCTACAATCACAGATCAAATGGGCCAGTTTAGGTTAGCACATGTTACAGGGCATGCTGCATTTACTGTGGTCTACATAGAAAGAATAAATTGGATGTTTAATATGGAAGGTGCAGTATTTCACTTCTGATGATTTATGAAGAAAGGAAAAAATCAGTATAGCACAAAACCAGAAAAACTCTACATAGATTATGTGTTGCAAAAGGACCCAGAGCAAAGCTGGATTCAGTTGCTGAAAACAGATGATGGCCAATATCATGTACACATTCTCAATCCTGCAGGCAAAGTCTCAAGTGGCAGGCTCCTGCTTGCATGGCACCTTTTTTGTTTACAGATTCCAGTCCACAAAAAGGGTACTATCCAGGGAGGCCTGTATCTTTTGATAGCTTGCCTTTACCTGTTCGTGCTAGATCGTCAGGGCTAAAGCTCTCCTACCTTGTCTGGTGTATTATGGGGAGGGGTGAATAAAAGATTGTGCTTTAGGCATCACAATGTCTTTGGGTGCCATTCTGTCTGTAATATTTGACTCCCCAACCTGATTTCCCTTGCTAGTTCATGCTTTTACCTCCATAGATGAGTTCAACAGTTGCAGGTATGTCAGACAGCTGGAAGCAGAACAGCAAAAGGAAAAGGCTTAACAAGTAAAATCTTTTTTCAATGTAGAATTCTTAAATCAAACCCTAATACTGTCTCATGATTGTTTTCCTTAAAGGTCACAGCTGTGTCTTTGAAAGACTCACAGTTGTTTCTAGTGATGAAAATGCATCACTCAAATTCATTTACACAGAAGAATTCACTCACACAAAAAGCAGAAGACAGGCTGAATATTGCATGTGTGAGCAGGGTTCTGAGAATACTTGGTGATTACATAAATGCTGCAATTTGAAATATTCACAGTCAAAGGCTTATAAAATTGTACTGCAATGTTGTTTTCTTCCCACTGTAGAAAAGGATGACTTTCAAGATTGACAAATTTTGTTAAAAATATTTATTTAAAAAAATACACCTGTTTTGGAAGTCAGGTTGCACATACTTATTAACATGATTTGCTACAATATTCAAAGCCAATTTGCATTATTATACAAAGCAAAACCCTCTGTCAGTTCTTAAAATAAAATACTTCCCCCAACCCTTTTTTAAAAAGATTGCCACACCTTTTTTTTGCACAAAAGTCTAAGCAATAGAAAAAAAAGTCACCTGATTTCTCAGGAAAGACCTTCATTATGTTTAGATGAGTAACAGGCACTACACCAACCAAGTCAAGCCACAAAATGGTATCGCTATGCAGTCCCTGAACACCTGAATAACAACTTGATACAATTTTTGGTCAAATCCAAGGCAAGTTCCCTTAATAAAATCATTTCCATTTTTTCCTTAGCTTTCTAATCAACATCTTGACATTATGAAGGTCTCCCTTAAGTTTTGCCCAGAGGTGCTTATAGTCAAAAGAATAACACTGAAAAGTTACTTAAAGCTTTGGCTATTTATGCAACTGCATTTCAGACCACAATTATTTTTACACAATGGTGTTAACATAATGGATATATAAAAGATACAAAGCTTCCTCTTTCTATTTTAAAGAAACATGATTCCAAGAAGCTACTTTTCCCCAACAAATGTCATACAACTATTATAGCAAGAAGCTCCATGTTTGCCAATTATAAAAAAGTCTTGATTAGTCAGGCAGCCAAATCCCTTTTTTTAAAAAAAAGCAAATGCTGTATTCTCAGAGAGAGAGAGAGAGAGTGAGAGAGTCTGTTTTCTCTCTTAGTTGCACTAACATGGATATCTGCAGCTGCAAAGACATTGCAGAACACCCATGGCAAACACAAGGCCTGTTCAACCCTCTGCATTGGCATCGGTCCTTGCCCAGATGGGAGGGTGGGGAGGAGTTACAGCTGATTTTCTTTTGTCTTTGAAAAACAGGGTGAAGACAAAGAGGAGACTAGAACAAGAAATTCTTTTCTCTTTTGCAAACCCAGTATGCTACTTACTCTTTGTAATAAATGCAGCCTGACAACCCAAGCATAACTCTTTGTACGAACTGCTCTATATCAGCTACCCTGGAGCAGGATCATAGCCCCAGTGAAAAACCACCTTAAAAACAAAGCAGAGATCCTTCTAGGAACAGGAACCAGCCATTAAGAAAAGGAAAGAAATCTTTCCAATTTGAATCGCTGTAAAGCCACTTGAGGTCCATTGCAAGGGCTCTACCTATTGGTATCTATATATTCACTACTCAAAATATTAATTCTGTGGTATTTCAAAACAATAGACTTAACTGTGTTTGATTCTGCTCCTTAAATTTGGCAGTTTCTGAGAACTGCTACACTAATTCTTTTAAGATTTTTAGTACTGTATACATCATGAGATAAAATCGGCGTTCTAGTTTCCCTCACTCCACCGCCATTCACAACCTCTAGCTTTCTCTTACATATTTTTACCCAATGCATGAACATGTAACTACATAATACAGAGAACAAAAGGATTGAGTATGCTACTGTACCTATCACAAGCAATGTGATGTACATAAGGCCATCTGGTAACACTGCAATAAAAATACAAATGACATTTTAAAAAATTACTTAGGACAATTTATATATATATATATATACAGTTTATAAAATACTCGTTTAAAAAATCTAGCATATATTTTAAAATGGTGCAATTGAACAGCAAGACTGATGCTCAACAACTTTAAGCACAGTTCTGAAACAGTCTACCAAAGGAGGGGGGAAACTCACAGCTCAAAACATCTAGTATAAACTGTATATTTACCTCAGGATCCCTTCCTCTACTACTTATACAAGCACACTTTCTAAAGAGCCCCAGATATGAAGACAGCTCAAAAGAAAAAGCTTCCAGTTAATAAACTAGTGCTCAATATATGTTAATGAAATTCATTGCCCCAATATGTTCTGATCGATATTGGCTGAAATGCCTTCAAAAGAGAACAAATCTATTTGTGGAAGAGGTCTAATTCTGAGGTAACAATTTCAGATATTTATTTCTTTTCTGATCCTGTGAAAGAAAGGTGGATCAAATTTAAATTTGGTTGACTATTCAACTAAAAGTATGTTTCCTCATTTACTTTAAGTGCTAGATACTGTGTGATCTACAACAGCAAATTTCAAAAAGCTTACTTTTCAAGCTCGAAAGACCTATTGCAAGTCAAGCAAAGACCTATTGCAGGGTAAAGAACCTTTCACCTTACAGATGTTTAGAACTGAACGTCCCACAATTCCTTATGACTGTCCATGCTAAATGAGGCTGAAGGCAATTACAGGTCAACTCATCTGGAATACCAAAGGTTCTCTTCAGACCCACTGGGATCGTGAACAACAAATGGACAACCCTTTCAGTGACAGAGATGCTAAAATTATAGGTGCAATCATATCAATAACATTAAACATGAACTTAGATTCAGATTATTAGTTTAAGATACTTTGCGAGTAAGTGACATCATATCAAATAGTTTTAAATTTGGTCTTGATACTATATAATGTGGTATAAAAGACAAGAGCCCTATAAATTCTGAAAGTGCAAGGAGTTTTAAAAGCTCAGTTTACAAAGTAGGCTTTGTTTACTATACATAATACACATAATAAGCACACACTCCAGATATGTATCTGGATCCTTTATCAATCAAACAAAACATTGCCTCTTGTGCTAAATTGTTCAAAAACTGAATTAGATTTATCAATTTGATTAACGTTTTTCTATAGTCCTAAAAAAAGAATGCCTGGGGATGTCCAAGACACAATGCATCATGAAATTAGTTCCATAATCTGAAGGAACTAGGTTGAGTTTGACAAAACTTTAGAGTCTGGATTTTGGCCAGGCTGAATGGAAGATCCTAGAAAATTCACTTTTCCAAGTTCTAGCTTCAGAACTTTTAGAATGCACAGGCAAACCTTTATGCTTTGATAGTATAAGAAAATTTCTTTCAAGACATTATTAATTACTCATTACATTTATTACATTTCTATCCATTCTTTCCACTAAAAGAGAACACTAAAGGCAGCTTACAAACTTTTTGAAAAAAAAAATTGGTAAAATCACATTTAGCTAAAAAATAATAAAATGATAAACTAGGAAGGAAGATGTATTCAAAGGGAAAAAAAAGATCATTTCCACAGGCTGACATAAGAATACCTAAATAACTACAGTATTTAAATTCTAGTCAAATAGATGTAAATAATGACACACTGATTTACATTTTGACTGTATTTCTCTAGCCAATGAAGGATTATATCCTTGACTCGAAGCAGTTTCTGAAGCAATGGTTCTTAGGTAAAAATTTGAATAGTGAAACACATCATGGGACTGCTCGGCTAACAGGAAAAACTCATTCTGTATAGAAAGGATGGCATTCTTGACTATTCATGGAAATTCTCCCATGCTCCCCCCTTTCTGCAGCTCTCAGAGGTCTCCCCTGCATGAAAGAGATCCCCAGGGATCCTTGAAAACTGGGAGTGGAACAGAAAACTTTTATTTCTCCTCAACCAGCTGCGGCTGATGATGTCATCAAGTGTACGCAGCATAAAGCTGTGCAAGAAGATTCCGCCTGCAGGCTATCAGCTAACAGAGCCCATAACCACTGCATATGAAAAGGGGTAGACAAAATATATAGGAGATTGGAGGCAACAGAAACGTCCTCTGAATGTGCGAACATCCTCCCCTTTCAGTCTTTCAAGGCTATAACATTACGCACACTTACTTAGACCTACTAAAATCAGTGGGACTTCTGAGTAAACTCACCACTCAAGCTTCCCCCAAAATGTTATTTTCTCCTCTGCCTTCCTTCTCTGGTACAAGATTTACTTAAGACCAAGCAACAGGGGAAGTTTATTTATATAGGAAACTCTGAATGCAAAGTTTGTGTTTTGTTGTACAATTTGCCCAGCCCAGAACTAAAGAAAATATGACATTAATAAAACACAGTAGATAGTGACGCTAGTTCAAATGCTCAACCTTCACATTAGTTATGCTGTAGTTCAGGAGCTGAGATTAATCAGTGCAATCTCCAAACCCCTCAGTCTGCATGGCAACCATCTGCCACCACCACTTCTGCTCCACCACTGCAAGCATGGCAGAATTTGGGGTTGTCAGTTTCTCTGGGTTCTTCCTTCAGCACCACCACTGGACGGCTCTGCTACAGCTGGTGTATACTAATCAGGATTTTAAACCAACTTCACACTGTGCTTTTGGATCCTGGTTTGCAAACTGACATTAAGCCAACATTTCTTCTTTCATGCAAAAATGCTAAGTGATTTAAATAAATCAGTGCATAAGCACTGATTTTGTCATTCACAGCTGACTAATCAGAATTATGATTCAGAAAGCCAGGAACTGAGCATTCCAGTCAGGCAACTGACAGTTGTTGATATTTTACTTCAGGTTTCATTTTTGCAAGTTCTGTCCTGAACCCTCATGTCCTTCTTCAGGACCACATTGTACTCACATTGTGAGGACCCTGAATGTAAACGGAAGTTCAGAAGAAGTGGTGAAAGAGAGAGCAGAAAGTCTCACAACCTTCTTCAAAGAGAAAATTTAGCCAAACAGGCATCTGTTAATATTCACTTTTAAAAAGTAGAACTTAAACACAAGACATTTCTCTTGTACAAGGTTGAAAAGTGTTACATGGACATGTTTTCATGTGATTACATATGAAAATGCAATAAAATAGCAACTCAATGTAATTCAGCAAGACTAATGAATGATTTAGAAAACCCCAAAGACTGTCAGTTCTCTAAACGAGGTAACAAATGGCTGGACACCAAGGACCTAGGTATAGAAATCTCAACAAAGCACTTGATTATTTAAGCCGGAAAATTGACAAAGAAAGCATCGGACATTTACACACGGTCAGAATCTATCTTTGCCTGCTTAAAAAAAAGCAAAGCATGCTGCTTATATACCGCCCCATAGTGCTTCAAGCAATCTCTTGGAGGTTTACAAGTTAATTATGCAGGCTACACAGTCCACCCCATCCCCAGCAAGCTGGGTACTCCTTTTACTGACCTCGGAAGGATAGAAGGCTGAGTCAACCTTGAGCAGGCTACCTGGGATTGAGCCCCGGGTCGTGAGCACAGTTTTGGCTGCAGTACAGCGGTTTAACCACTGTGCCACGAGGCTCTGGAGAGCATACAAATGTTGGGATATAGCAAGATCCAACATTCTAGCCATTGAGGGTTAAGGTGCTGAAAGACCTCACCTGTCCCTTTTATTCAGTGAGGCTCTCCTATAACACTTTGCCTCTCACACTTCACTGGTGCCGACTGACTGAGCGAGGCAGAGACTGTATGTGCTTGCCTACGTTGGTGAGCGGCAGCCTGAGCTGCCGCTGACCTACTTGCTTTTACTGTTTGGTATGTTTTGTTATGTAGCTTTAGTAGTTTTATTGTTTTCTTAGGATGTCCTGTTTACCTTTTCCTAAGAGAAATAGATAGAGATTATTACTTAAATTTTGTCTCATTGTCTCAAATTTTTCAACAACAAAAATATTACTATGTAAAGCTGATGTTTCCAACTTTAAGTATGTTGCAAATAAGAAAATAGAGGAAAGTTAATAAAGTATGCCCACATTTGGAGCTGTCTGAAATACAAAGTAGCAGTTACCTGGTTTTGAAACTTTGCAGCACTTACAACTGAAATCTAATACTGCTCTCCTTGGTGAGAGTATAGCTACATTCATTATCTGCTCATGGGGCTAGCACTTCAATAAAATGGGCTATTGGCTAGTAAATATTTTTAGAAGTCTAAACAAATGGGTTCAATGACACATTCATTATTTTTTTAAAAAATCTTAGAAGTACAGTATGACCCCCCTCCCCTCTCCAATTCATGGAGCAGTATCCACAGTTTCATGTGTCTATGGTCTGAAAATATTAAAAATATTAAAACACACACACACCCCAATGTATTTCCATGATGTAATTACCAGAACTGCTAACTAGAGGGAATCAGAGACAATGCTATAGAGAGAGTTCACTATTTCTATGGACTTCGGCATCTACGGGGATCAGGGACTTGGAACCAATTCCCTGTGGCTACTGCAGTCCTAATGTACAAAGTTCCCATAGAAGCTCTTTAGGCAACAGTTGCACAATGTAACAAGATCTTCTGAAAGCCACACAAAATTCTTTAGTTGTAGAGGCACAGTACAACTCTGCCAAAACAATACCATACAATATCCTTAGGGTGAAGTGAGCTCCCAGCAGTTCCTGATTCTAAAGGGATAGCATCCACCAAGGAAAATGTTTACTGTGATTGACAAGGGATGAAGCAGAAGGACACAGATAAAGCGTATAAAGCCCCCATAGAATGAATCCAGGCAGCTCCATAAACTTGCTGGGAAAAAAAGCAATACTAATACTTTAACCCATAGTGATCAACTAACAATCCATGGTGCATTTTCTTTGAAAAAGGTGGTGCTGCATTATGAAACCAGGTTAAACCAAACTGATACCAAGACGATCCATGTTTCAATTCACCTAAATATATGTACTGCACAGGTGCATCGCAAGTCACATACAAAAGTACAATATTTCAATAAAGAATGCCTGTCCTTTTCCAGTAAGGGAAAAGCAGTTTAATTACCACTTTTTTAGTACTTAAGAACAAATGTAAAACAAAAAGCAGACACGTCCTTAAAAACTGCTATTAATTTGGCCCTGGAGGCAGCAGACAACCATTAGGTAAACATGAGAATATCCAAGGACTACCTCACCTACCACCTACAGCTGTTTTTCTGCATGTTTACACTAGAAATAATCTATGAAATATTGCACATTCAATTTAGGCGCAACAGGCCTGAGCCTTCCAGATATCTATCTGATCATGTCTTGGAAAAGGAGCCATCAACATACTGCAAGCAACAGAGCACACTTGTTTGTTGTCTTTCTTTGGGCTATCTGCTACATTATCTACCCTTTTCTCTCATCAGATTTTTTTAAAGGAGTGCTTTTGGAAGGGCAGCTCAGTAACTTTTTTGGGGGGGACTCTGTTCTCAAGAGAGGTTGTAGAGTTGTATCACACATGCTAGAAAGGACCAAGTTTATAGATTTCAAGGCAGACAAAATTCCTATCTAGGACATCTTCTCTTGTCAGATACTCAGCCTTGCAGAAGTGTCACAAGTGCACACTTGGAAATGAACCTAGACATGAGGAATTCCCATATGATAGCATATGAGAATCCACTTGTCTTAAAGATGGGATACACGTGGCGCACAGGACTGAAAGTGCTCTTAAATCTACTATTCATCATTTCAAAAAGTTGTGGTTTTTTTTTCAACGTCTCTGCCGCTGAAAATTCTACCAGCCAACACCAGTACAACTGTCAGGGGAGATGTGAATCACATTCTCACTGCAGAAGGTTAATGCTCCCACCACCACCAATAGCCACACGGCATTATCTGGCAAAACTCCTGTGCTTCATCTTAACTTTAGGGAGGGGGGAAGGCTACAAAAGTAAGGGGTGGGCCAAGTGCAGGAGTGAGCAAAACCCTCCAGATGTTCTTGTAATGCAATCCTCAGCATTCCTGAACACTGAAAATGGCTGGGTAAAGTGGAGGAGCACGCTCTACATCTGGATGGCCACACTTAAATCACTCTTTCTACAAGTTCTAAGGTGCTTTTAAAGACATGACAGATGGACGCAGCACCTGCCAAGTGAGAAAGTAACTGTTATATCGCTATAGAAATACTCTAGCTTTTGCATACATCTCTTTCTACTGAGGGGGAACTTCTAGTGGTACACACAGTTATCCAAATTTAACATTATACTTTCCACTTCTTATCATAGATGGCTTGCTACAATGGCTTGCTGATGTACTTCTACATCAGCAAGCCAGCATAGCAAAGCCAACGATTTCCAAAGACTAACAGAATTGCTATATTATGTTGAAGAGATCATTCAGTGCTACCACAAAGTGAAATGCAGCCTGAAATATGATTTTAGCTCTTTCAGACTTCAAGTAGCTGAAGCCAACCTGCCTTTTCCACTCATGCTTTCTTCATCAATGGCAATACTTCCTAGCCGTTACACGATATGTCAGGAGCATCTACACATTCAAACAGTTAGTTCAGTTCTCACTTAGACTAAAAGAAACGGATAATCAAAGACACCCTGGGCCCCGAGAGGCATCTTCTTTGGATATCTCACTTGTTGGGGGAGGGGGGAAGACTAAAATATAAACACTTACTTCCCACAAAACATAATCAAGCAGCACGACAATGTCACACCTAGTACATCCAATGTCATAACACAGTCACTACAAGGTTCCTCAATTACCATTGTTTGCTCATTAAAGTTCTTCTCTATTAGATTTCAGGGGAACTTTTTTTCTAACTAATAATCTTTCACTTAAAGCTTTTAAATATTTATACAAGATTAAAGCAATTCAGTTCTACAACCAGTTCATCTCTGTATTGTCCAATCTTACAGAACAGCACAAGGTTCTTGGGAAATCAAATGACATTTTTGCTGAATGATATATAGCTAAAATATCTATATTGATAATCAGTTACTTCAAAAGACTGCCTCATTCTTTTCTGTTATCTGACAGCAACTCACATCTTACTTGTGGCAACCCCAACAGGTAAGATTTTAATCTAATACAGGGTATCCAGAGTATGTGAGATGTTTAAGGACTGGTTTTACCATTGCCATCCATCCCCCAGTGACTTTCCATAGCCCAGCCAAGGACTCAAACTCAGGTTTCTTGAATCCTATTCTGACGTTCACCCCACTACACCATGCTGGCTCTCAATTCTCTTCTATGCTACCATAATATGCACATATAAAGTTTCTCCTTACAGAGACATACAGTTTTCTTGCTATATTCCTGTATTAGATTAAAAGAAAACTTAAAGAAAAACATTTTCCAAGTATTTCTTGGAATGGCAGCTGCCAGTAATGATTAAGAATAAAAAACAAAAGGTGGAGACATGGACAGTAATCCATCGAAAGGGACGTTGTGTCAGTCATATCCATTACTGCAGATTCAATCGTAGCATTTCCAGAAAATTAGATTCCCTTTACCAACAAAAAGCTTCTTATGCCAAAAGCAGCAAGGGAGAGGAGAGACTATGGAGAGCAGTCTCCAATTAAGGCATTTCTGAACAAATTCCCTTATGCCTTGAAGGGATTTTTTTGCAAAGGCATCTGAGCGAGGAATGGCAAAAATCAAGTCAGATTATATTGCCTCTGTGGAATTACAAACCACTCCTTAAAAACTGGGTTACATCACTTCTTTTTAATGACACTTCTTCTTATTTCTTAATCCGTCTTCTTCGAAGAACGTCATACACTATGTCTTCTGCAAGTCTGGGGAGAAAGGCCCAGGAGTAGAGGGCCCATCCATTCCTGACACAGTAAATGGTCCATGAGTATTCAGCACCGATGGAAACTGTAAAAACAGAAACAGGTGTTAAGGCTGCAGTTATGTAAAAGCAATGCATGTATTCTTGTTTACTTTTTGAAACAATTTCTGCTGGATATTCACTAAAAGGCTCCAAGCAATTCTAAAGATCTTGAGGGTACTTTGTCTGAGCTTCTGCAGAGCAAAATATTGACCAAAAATATCACATGACAAATTATAAGAAGGAAACAGTTTTGTCTTGCAGCTTAGTACAGTGGTGCCTCACTTGACGATGTTAATTCATTCCAGCGAAATCGCTGTAGAGCGAAAACATCGTCAAATGAAACGAAACAACCCACTGAAATGCACTGAAAACCGTTCAATGCGTTCCAATGAGCTGAATACCTGCTCGTCCAGCGAAGATCCTCCATTCGGCAGCCATTTTCGGTGCCTGTAAAGTGAGGAATCGGTCCTAGAAAACAGCAGGGAGCCATTTTCTTCAGCCCGCAGCCATTTTGAAACCCGAAAATCAGTTCCCGATGCAGGGAACCAATAGTTGCTAAGTGAAATTACCCCATTTAAACCATCGTTTTGTGATCGCAAAAGCGATCGCAAAAAGTCAACGTAATGTGGATTCGTCGTAGAGCGGGGTAATCGTCCAGCGGGGCACGACTGTATTTATATTGTTAAGTGGCCTAATAAAGCAAAGATGGAAGTTACCAAACCTTAACAATACTTCATTTTCCCCAATTTTTTTCATTTAAAAGATGTTTTCTAAAGACCACTTTAAAATGAGATAAGAACTAACAAACAAAAAAACTAAAAATCTATACATACATTTCAATAAGACACAACCAAAGGTCCAAAAAGATATACATTGAACTTGATGTCTATGTTGCATGGTATTGTGATCATATGACACACACACCCCCAATGCTGAAAACCTGCACTGGTTACCAATTACTTACTGGGCCCCGTTCACTGTGTTGGTTTTAACCTTTGACGTCCTAAATGGCTTTGTGGCCTGGCTAATTAAGGCTCTGCCTGTTATTTATATGAGCCTGTCCAGACATTAAGATCTTCAGGAGAGACCGTCTTAAAAACACCAACAATTTCAGAGGCCCATCTAACAATCACACAGAAGAGGGGTTCCTTCTATGTAACTCCAAGACGGTGGAATTCATTCCTTTTGCAGCTGTGATCAGTTTCCTCTATGAATCATTTTAAGAAAAGAGTAAAAACACATCTTCTTAGACTGACATGTTCATCCTGCCCTACTGTGCTGTTTTTAATGGTAACCTTTTTGATTTTAATGGTTTTAATGCATTTTAATGCATTTCAATGTTTTATATAGTGAGCTTGATTTTAAGATTTTATACTTGAATTTGGTCTTACTTATTTTTATTCTTGTATAAAGTTTGTAAGCTGCAAGCACTGCCTCATTAATGACCAGCAATTTGCCACTAAGAATTATGCAAGTTCCCTTAGCCAACTGTAAATTAGCAAAAGGATTCTGGCCAATGGGTCTACTCTAGTTGGAACTAGCAAGTTGATTTAACCTGTGGCAAATGCTGATATAGGCTTCCAAAATGCAGATTACACGAGCATTTAGCATAACCCTGCATTTGGGAAGTCTGCACAGAACTTTACTGTATTCTTAACCCATTGTTAAAATAACTCCTTCACCTGGAATACATTGTGAGGCTATTATGTCAAAGTGCACAATTACTGCTTATATGACAAGCCCAACACACTTGGGCTTCACCTACTAACAAAATTATGTGTGATAGATCACAGAGAAACTACTCTGTTAATGTTCATGTTTTATTAAATAATTTTCATTACAACAAAGACAGATGTCACTTTCAAGTCCATTATGAGTTGGAAAGCTTTGAGGAAATCCTGAAAGAGACCCAGGGAACCTTCAGATCTTAATTATGCAGATTATTGTTAGCCTTCCTACCCAAACCTGGATATATATCACAAACAATGATTTGCAGTTATGATTTACTGTACAGGAAGTACTTGCATTTTTGATTCAGAAGTGGGAAAGAAGTCTGTGCCGTATTTCTGGTTCTCCAAACAGTTTGAACAGTCATCCAAATCACGGAGAATTTTTCAGTGAATACAACAGTTCATGATTCAAAGGAAACAATAAGTAATAACTTGAGTTGAGTGTATTTGTGTGGAATTCTCTTGAGTTATAATCCAAAAAACACATCTATAAGCATATTCTATCATATTTTCAAAAGGTCCTGTAGGCTCTTTACCATAACCCTCTGCCATTCTTTTCCAGCACTTACCTGGAACAGGGTATTAGCACCTTGCAGTCTTGCTGGACTGAGAGGAGCAACTGGACTAAGAGTGCTCCAGAAATGGATACTGGACAGCAAGGGGCTTGGAGTCAGCCAAATAGGTGTCTGCAAGACATACAGAACAATATAAAAAAGCCCGTTTCTGAGATCATTCATTATGTAAAGCTTCTACTAACCTCAACATACCTAAGAAGTATTTGTATCAGCACAACTCAAATGGACTCAGACAACCAAATGGAGCTTGTCAAGAATGAAAATAACCAAAATTACGAAGCTTTCAACTAATGTCAGCAATACAGAACTTGAGAGAATAGATTTCCAACAAATATTTGCATTTCTAAAATCGACATTTTGTTCATGCTGCAAACAAAAAGAATAATCTCCTACTATAGCCACAGTCCACAAAGACATATAGATCCTGAAATGTCCTAGACCCCTTTATTCTACATACTATAGAAACAGACTTTGGATAATTATCAGAAGCCACCAAATGCAACAAGGGGAAATACAGAATTTAGATGGTCGTCCATCTAAGAATCTTATGGCACATGAAAGCTTATTATGGAAACAGTGGCCTAGAAAGGCTCTCTTTAATTGAGAATTTACTGAAGCTACGCCTCAAAAAGCTGGTCTTAAAATAAAACTGGACAAATTTTACATTATGTTGAAAAAAATATAGCTCAAAACTGGAAGTGGCTCTGCATGGCTATTATTTGCTCTTAAATTATTAGATTCTAAGGCCTACATCAGGAAAGGAAACAGTGCTTGTGGAGCACATTGCCACATTATATTTTACACAACCTCCTCAAAGCTGCTATTAATTCTCCTAGGAACAACGTTCCCTTAATGCGTCCAACTACTTACTTGGGAACAGGTTGGGAAACTGCATGTATCCCATCTCCATTCTCTCTTGTGTGCAGTGGGGACTGAACCAAAATGTTTGCAGCAACAATATGTCGTTTCTGTTTTAATCTTTGATATGAACCTAAGCTTTAAACTGATCTTTCAGAGCCTGCGATAAGCAGAGATTCAGATTATGCCTTATTGTTGTTGCATACCTAACAATTAACTTTGGCCAAATAAGACAAGATGAATTGCCCTTCCACATGGGTAAGGTCCTGACATCCTAAGTAATCATAATCATTTAATTACAGTTAAGGAACTATGAGCAATGGATTGGACCAAAGGATCTGTCTTCTATGAATGGAAGGGCTCCAATTTACTGAAGCCACCTCCGTCCAATTTTCAGGGACTGCTCCTCTCCCATGCCACTATAGCACAGCTGCGGTCCCCCAACTCTCTATGTAGAATTTTCAGAACACTGTAATGACTGCTGTGGGAGAGGGCATAGAGAAACCTGTGTCCACCAGCCAATTTGCACACACTTGCATGAAGATGCAACCCAATAAGGCCAGGAGTTTAATGGGGCATTGGGTTGACAGAAGATGTCCATCTGCAGATCTCAAAAAAACTTATTTCCTCCACTCAACAGCTAGACTCTTTCCTTCCTTAACTCTCCTTTTCAGCCTTCTGCAGCATGGAAAGCTCTACTCTGGAGGCTTTTCTACCCCTCTGGAGCAGGTACTGATGGTGTGCAGCATGTGAGGGTTGGGGCAGATCCACCACCTTGGAGACTGTCTGACTGTCTTCTTCCATTAACATAAAGACCAACTAAGATTCTGACCTGTGGCCTTTATTGAGAATAAATAAGGAGCTTGGATTTCTCAAAGGACTTTCATTCTGCCTCCCCCTAAAGTTAAAGCAAATTTAGGCTTTAGATTAGATTTCAATTCATCTTCTATTTTGCTCTCAATTTTCAAAAATATTCATCAGTCTTCTTCAAGAGGGCACCAATCAGCAGATTTTTCACCATGTTCTGTACACATACAGGTTTTCATTAAAACAATTAATAGGAGACAGAATTACCTGTGAGAAAAGTGCTGGTGTAAGAGAAGCAGTAGGGAGAGAAGGGCTTATTATTCCCAATGGACTTGGGTCACTGCCAGTAATTAGCAGAGTGGGAGCAATCTCCAGCCCTTTGGGCTTTCTAGTTCGGCTATGACGGAGCTCCTTTTCTAGTGTGGCAGAACCCTGCTCCTTCACCTCCAGGACTGGATTCTCAGACTGCTGTGACTGCTGGCAAGAATCAGTGTCTGTATCTGTATCTATAACCTGATCAGGGTTAGAATTTAAAGGTGGCAAAGGAGACTTAGAAGGAACCTGAAGAGTAGGAGAGACCGAGGTTGAAGGAGGTGTAGGGGTGAAACTGGTCAAATTTGGCAAAGATGCTGTTGTTTCAGTGGGAGCCACTTTTCGTAGGGGTGAAACTGGTGGTCAAATTTGGCAAGGATGCTGTTGTTTCAGTGGGAGCCACTTTTGGTGCTACTAAAGACTCCAAGGCTTGAAGACCTTCATCTGAACCAGAAGGAAGGGTAGAGGCAGCTGAAACACCAGATGTTGGTTGAGTGGTAGAGGGCAGGGGAGATATTGCAGGCTTTTTGGAGGACACAGTCACAAATTTTATAACTGATGGTGTTGGATCCTGAGAGGTTTTTTTCTCTGCCAACTTCTCAATGGGGTTCTCCATCTTGATTGGTTTAAAAAGTTTTATACAAGAGGAGGAATTCAAAGAATTCAAGGTGAATGAAGAATAGAGGCCTGAGTGGATATAATCATTGCGACTAGAGGACTTTGCACAAGACTGATGCTTCTCCTTCCCACCACTCTCTGAGTCCTTGGCACTGCTGGTAGCATCTGTAAAGTGTGCCTGGGTTTCATCATCACCTTCAGTTCTGCCGACTGATAGTGGATCCATATTTAGAATCTCTGGATAAGATACAAACTTGTAAACAAACTTTTGACCATTTACTTTTTTGATGATATTCTGTGAAAACATAAAATAAAACAGAGTGAAAAGACATCAAACATCCCTCCCATTTGAATCCTTGGCATATTATGCTCAAGTCTGTCGAGCTAAAGTAGCCCAACTTCAGTAACCAAATTATTTACATTTGAGAGGGAAGACTATGTGAAGCCTTGCAATAAGTTAGGTCTTATTGAAATCAACGTAGAAGTTAGTCTTGGCTAATTAAGTCCCGCTGAATTTCAACAGGAGACTAACTTAATCTGGAACCAAACTAACATTTATCTCCTACTCATCCTTTTGGAAGCTCAGGGATCACCCATCTATGATTAAATGATGTTACAGTTTCCCAATTAGGACACCCTCTCTACAGCCACTCAGCCACACTACTCTTGCTCATCCTGCTCCCTTTCTTACAGTCAAAATCTGCAAAACTCTCAAGGAGGGAAGAGGACTGGTTTCTTTCAAATTAAGAGTCACCATTTAAGAATTAAATTCCTTTTGGAGCTGCTCTGATGTGACCTTTGATAAAAGATAAGCACAGAAGCATCAGTTCCTCTCTCAATCCTTTTCTCTGAAGTATTCAGTAATAGGAGGTAAGCTGAAGATGTGAATTGTCCTTTTATTTGGGGACACAAACTGACCTTTGTTTATTTGGTCAGCTTCCCAGACATTTACAACAGAAGCATTGAAGTACGAGTATCCAGCAATTCCATATTCCCCAGTTTCTCAGTTTTATCTAGCCTGCAGCATTTGGCAATTCTGAAACATTCTCAGCTTAAGGAAGTCATCAGCATTTCCTCTTGTCTAGCCTATCCACAATCAAATAATGTAATGATGATTCCATCAATACACCAACTTGAACATAAGGGGCACAGATTCGGTCAGTTACCTACATGTTTTATGACCTTGATTCGTAAGGCATAAAGTGTAAGTTCAGATTTTGAAAACAGGCACAAGACTTTCATCAGTGTGTGCTCGATGTTATCACACCAAGGTTAAATATTCCAAACAGGGAACAGGTAGATAACATTTTGATATAGCTGAAGGGAAACGAGCTGCAAAAACATTCAGCGGAACAGCACAGTCACGTCAATGCCTCTAAGCAATATTATGTAGCACTCATTTTCTTCTGTAGTTATTAAAATGGCAAACACGTCAATCTGTGTAGTATAAAGTTACAGGTGGTGCTTAATAACCAAGCCAATGTTATCCCAGGTTAAGTTCTAACCTGCATGTAAGTAGAGTTGACACTAGTTCTGGATTTTTCTTTCTTATTCTATGAAAATAGCACAAGGACAAGTGTAAAATAAGCCATGTATCAAGTGCACATGAAATATCTTTGTCTGCTATTCTGGGGCAGCACTGAAAGAAAAATTCTGGTGTGGCTTTCATTTCCAAAACAATGCAGAGAAAAAAGTAATGGGCACACAGAGGAAGGATAGCTTTGCATGCCATTCACTCTTCTGAAAAAGTAATATGAATATACTTGAAATAATTGTGGTAAAGGAACGCTGAAAGGTAGTGTCCTACTCAACTTCAAACCTACATTAGACTTTTATAACAGAGGTCGTCAACCCCCAGTCCACGGCTGGGTGCTGGTCCGTGGCCTGAGCCATGGACCGGCACCTCCCGCACCCCCGTACACACTCCCCTCCCCACAGTTGCTTTGCGTGCGCATGCCAGCGCCAGCGTGAGGGCTCCCCCACCCCTTCACGCATGCGCTCGAGCATCTACGCAAAGGTTTGGGTGGGTGGGCAAGCGCTCCTGCGCATGCATGAAGGGGTGGGGATTGTTTACAATAGGATGGTAGGTTCTCCCTCAACAATTCAGGACTGTGTTACTTGGGTGGCAAGTCAAAGCAGTGATATGTCCTTTACTAAAAAAGGAAAAGAACACACCTTTCTCCTGCTGCCCCCTCTCCTTTTTAAACAAACCAGCATAATTTCACTTTGGTGGCAAATCAATGCAGTGTTGTGTCATTTACCAATAAAGAAAAACAACAGCTTTTCCCTGCTCCCCATAGAGGAGAGATAGGAGAAGATGCAGGGGGGTACAGAGGGTAACATGGAGGAAACATCTAAATATGAATGCTATATATAAGATATGGTATACTTTCCTGTCCCCAAACCACCTGATCCCTGTCTGTAGATGCAAGATCATTCTAAAGTTCTGACTTCACTTTCAAACATCCCTGTTTAGCTTGATACAGTCTGGGACACCTTCACTGTCTAGAAGCACCCCGAGTTGCTTGACTACTTTATTCTATGTCATGAGATAACTGTACTCATACACAAGGCTGGTCCAACATTAGGCCAATTGAAGCAGTGACCTAAGACGATAGCAAGCTACTGCAGGAGAGAGCACCATCTTATTATTTGCATCAGACAGCAAAATGTCTTGGGCCAACCAATGGTGTGGCCAGGGGTCACAGACTTGTGGCTTGTGAATTCTGAGCAGAAAGAATCATGTCATTATTTGCTAACCCCCGACGCCACCCCTTAGGTGTCCTTCTCTCTGAGCTTTGCTGCCATCCTCTTACTAGCTGGGAGACTAATGGATCTTCCCAGGAATAGTAAGCTATCCCTGTTGTAGCGCAAGGTATCTGACGGTGGCCTGGTATCAAATGGACAATTTAGAGTAATCAATCTTACAAAAAGATCTGCTCTTCAGCTGCTGCCATGCTCTAGTTCAGTGGCCTGCATGTTTCAACTCTTGTTATGGGGTGGGATTGCGCTGGGGACTGTAACAATGAGCATCTGCACTTTCAAATGTTCCTACAGTACTAGGGCCAAGCCCTCTCATTCAATACATTGCAACAAAGGCACACAAGCAACATTTTTCTAAACTTCATCCCATTCCACTCAATAAACTCTCCTAGCAAGATGATGAATATATTTGCCCCTGAAGTTAATGTGAATAGCAAAGATGTTTATTCAATAGAGGCTAGACACGAAAAACGTTACAAGTAAGAGGCAAACAAAAGGCCAAGTTACCTTCACGTAGTAATATCGGAGAGCACGACTGAGCTTATCATAGTTCATACTGGGCTTATTCTTACGGATTCCCCAGAGGCGGGCCACCTCTTCTGCCTGCAGAAGCTTGAACTCTCCATCATTGGAGGTCCAAGAAATGATTCCCTTGTTCCGAGGCTCCTGGAGGAGTTGCAAAAGGAACTGCCACAAGGTGATTGCACTGTCCATAGCACTGAGCTGAAATTCAGAAGAAAGGAAGACGGACAGTCAAAGGTCATGCATGCCACTTTGGGGAACACAGACCCATTTAACCTGGCTGGAGGTGAGCAGCAGAGAAAGTACATTCACGGTCATTGTCACTAGACGGGAAAAATAAGTAGCCGACACAAACACTTAGGAGGACCACACATTTTCTATATTCTGTTTCTCCTCAAGGGGCCATATATAGCCTCATTTAGCAAAATCAGGTCAGTTTGTGGAGTCACAGTGACTCATTACCTTTCTCTGCAAAAAGCCCCTACAAGCATCACTTCTGCCATGAAAGAAACTATGTCACTCTAGCAGCCAAATAAAACTTCTTCCTCTATTCAAGGGAAACACAGCATGCCCAAAAACACAACTGCAATGCAGCCACAGTTACATTTTGCCTTTTTTTTTCCTTTTCAGAGAAAAAGAACATCACTCTTGATACTGGGAGGGAAAAGTTTTTCTGTTTGCGGATTGGCTTCCATGTTGCTTCTCACACTGAAATCCCATTTTTTGGATGGAATCTGAATGACAAAATACACCCTTACAGATGAGAGAATGAAAGGAGCTCAGACTAAAGACTACTTCACATATTATGGACTGTCAGAAAGCCTTTGTTTGCAACTGAGTATATATTTCACAACCCAAGAGAAGTCCTGAACCACTCACTGGATGCAATGGGACCAGACCCCTCCGGGCACCACTTGATTTATCTTTTATCCCCATCTTGAATGATTGTTCACTGTTGTGAAACGGTTGTTATATGTTAGTGTTTTTATTCTATTTGATGTGAGCCGCCCAGAGTAGACATCGTCCAGACGGGTGGGATATGTCAAATAGATAGATAGATAGATAGATAGATAGATAGATAGATAGATAGATAGATAGATAGATAGATAGATAGATAGATAGATAGATAGATAGATAGATAGATAGATAGATAGATAGATAGATAGATAGAATTTCCGTCTTGAATGATTGTTCACCGTTGTGAAATGGTTGTTATATGTTAGCTGTTTTTATTCTATTTGATGTGAGCCGCAGAGTAGAACATTGTCCAGACGGGTGGGATATAAGTCAAACAAGCAAACAAGCAAACAAACAAATAAACAAATGAACGAATGAATGAATGAACGAATGAATGAATAAATGTGAAGCAACTGAGGCTCTCTACAGACAAAACAGGGCTCCTGGTAATCAGCAGGTGACCCACCCTGAATTTGGGAGTCCAGCCTGTTGGGGCAGCAGTCTCTCTGAATTATTTGAATTATGGATGCAGTGCTGCTGTTGGGAGATTGTGTGGCATCTGTAGCCAGGAATTTCAGTGCCCAGCAGCCATGCTATTTGCTGTAGAAGGAGGTTCTCTCTCAGGGATAGTTCCTTTAATTACTTCTCCCTTGTACAGACACTCTCTGTTGCGCTGTCCTTGAATTATGTTCTGCAAACTGCAACTAATACAAAGCACACCTTACCGTATTAAATCAATGATAGCATGATATATACAGTCTAAATAGTATGGCACCAAGATAAGTTTCTTTGTACAAACAGGAGCTCCAAAACCTGCAAGACAAGCTGCACTGCCCTGCGCGGGGGCACATTCACACACACACTGAGAACAAATACAGTTCATGAAATGGTCTCTAAATAAACAAACTACAGACCCAAAAAGATTTGAAACATTTGGTTTCCCATTAGCTAAAGCTGAAACCTCTTACATTCCAGGAGCTGCTACCGCAGACACTGGGCAGTTACATGGAAGAGAACTGACAGTACTTCTGGAGGTGTCTTTTAATGTTTCTACTGCAGCTGCACACATGGTTGAATAGTTTTGTTCTTTTCTTCTTATTGAAATAGGTTTGAATGTCCACCTGGCAGTTGCAGAACAAATGTCAAACACCTCCAGCTACATACATGGAACAAGGAGAAGTGTTCTTTCTCACTCGCTCAAATATTCACAATATTCATGGTCTATGGCTAAGATTTTCCATATACACACTGAAGTCTGAAGTTAAATGTGCCATAATTCATCAATTCAACCAAAAAAATTATCCACCCAACTGACAAATGCCCATGCGGTACAATCCAGTGCATCAGAATCAGCATCCATGAACCACTTTACACATGCCAATGGGTGTTCTTAGTTTTTACTTTCTTTTTCATCAGACAGTAGACAACATGAAAATACTTAACAATATCAGCACAAGCCTTAAGGCAGGAAGAGAAGCACTGCTTCCCACCCCAACTGCCATAATGCCATCCCCACATTCACCATGACAACCACAATGGGCAGCACCTCCTTTCCCTTTACTACCCCCCCCAACACCTCAGCATGCCCATTGTTGGGGTGGGCTTCTGTATAATGCCCGGCCCCAAGCTTGTATAGCATAACTCTGCTCTCTACCTCAGGGCTGGCCTTGATGCTGTGGGGCCAGGCATTATGCAGACAGCTGGCAGAGAAGTTGACACACTACCAGGATAGGGAGTCAACAGGAAGATGCTGAAGGTGAGAGCAGCAGGCTCAAGCAGTGGGGAGTGGGAAACGAGCTGGACTGTCATTTTGTTGTTGATACATTCCATTCATTAAGCTGTTTCTGACTCAAGGTGACTCAATGAATTCATAACCTACAAAAGGTGCTACCATTAAAAGCCCTATTCAGTTCTTGAAATGAAAGGCATTGGCTTCCTTTACTGAGTTAAAGTATCTCATGTTCTGCCTCCTTCTTTTCCTATTACACTTCGCCCTTGAATTCCACAGGTCTGAACAACATGGTTTTGTTTATACATTTTAATGGATAAATAAATATTCCAATAAATAATCAATAAACAAATATTAAATACATACTGTTCCTCCTGGTCACCCAGAAAAACAGTTCAACACTGAAGGTATCAAAGTGGTCTACTGGTCCAAAACATAACATCTCTAATTCAGCCTCTAAATAAGGGACCTTTAAGGTTCATTACAAATGGTACCTTATGGTAAGGATCATCAACACTATTGAACAGAACTCTGATAGATAGAACTGCTCCCTCTCCCTCTCCCTCCCTCCCTCCGTGTGTGTGTGTGCGCGCACACACACACATGTGCATGCATGCACATGCATGTGTGTGCATCAACTGTTTTTGCTTGTTTTTTTGCTGTTTTTCAGGACATATTAGTTATACATAGAATTTGAACTACATGGAAGTCTAGCTACCCAAACCCTGGTGTTGCTGAACTTTCAACTTTCCCTCCTCCTGGATGCACAACTTAAAGAGGTTTGTGTGTTCAGGCAACATCCTGCATTACAAGACTAGAGTCCTACCAGGTACATCCAAGGTGAACTGATCACAGCTGAGATACCATAATAAGATGTATCCATCCCCTTCAAAAATTATTGGTTGCATCAGCAAAAGAGCATTGACCATTTCTGTAGTGGTGAGAGCAGTGAAACTCTTAAAGGGCAATTACTGGCAATAACGACAGTGGAAGATAATACTGTTGTAGGATCTGCTATAGACAATATCGGTAATGATTCAAAGGACCCTTGTCAGTATTATGCTAAAGAAAGCAATGATCAACCATTTCTGAATATTCTGTATGTCAAACATCTCATGATGATGCAATCCAAAATGAAACAATAGTGACATCTTGAAGCTAGTTTAGTAGCTAATCCACAGCCAGTGAAGTACTTTAAAGAATATGGTTATATGTTGCATGATGGAACACACACACCCCAAAGCAGCTTAGCTACTACATCTTACACTACTTACACTCTCTGAATCTGGTTCTAGGGTAGCCAAACATTAAGCACATTGCAACAGCCCAATCATAATATTCTATTTATAGTGTACTCAACATCCTGCAACATATAACAGAAAAACGGAAATCAAGAAGCTACAAATCGGGGAGGGGGGTTTGAAACCACAACATACTGCTATCCTTCCACAGTGCTATGGTTCAGAACTGAGGCAAGTACACTCAACCTTCCAATATAATATATTACATCTCCCAGAGCTTTGTGTAAGAAACGGAAGTAACTAGGTATATAGAATGAAGATACGGCTGCAAGTATCTAACAATTCTGATTCCCCTTACACATTAATTTATGACAGCAATGGGGAATCTCTTTCAGCCAGTGGCTTGAATTCAATTTCAGAGAAATTATCAGGCAATGTTCCAGTGCTGGCCAGGGTAAAACAGTGAGAACAAAACTACCAGCATATTTTAGATTAAAGCTGCTACTGCTAATAACTGTCCCCAGAGAGGCATTTCCATGTGAAGTGGTGGATAGAAAAGCTGAGGAACTGCCAAAAATGGTATCTTCAGGAAACCCATGCACCAGGGTAGGAACCCAGAATATCGACTTTCACCATTGGACCTGTGGTTCACAACCTTGGCTTAATGGATGTAAATGATGTAATGAATATTTACAAATGATGTTGGTGTCTCAATGAATGAATTGAGACATTCTATTAAAAACAGAGGGCATTGCAAGATTTCTTCCATTTCTACATGAGAATCAAAAGATGGCACCTTTTTCATAAGCAACTGCATTTGTCAAAAAACCAACCAACAAAAGCATATTTTTGCATTAAAATCCTTGTATACAAAGTCTTTTGAACTAAACACATGGTCTCATGTGCAAAAGTTAATTGTACCAAAAAAAACTCTTCATATATTTCTTGCAAAAAATGCTGAAATCCAAAAGCAGCAGAGAAATTCTTGTAATTTCACCAGGAGAAAGCTTTTGAAGTTTTTCAGTACTGTCTGTGAGAATCAGATTAAGATTTACACCTCTACTCATGAGTTTAAATGGTGGGTTGCAGCATCATGCATCCTCTAATCCCATTTCCTCTCCCTGCAAACAACAAGCATCACAGCTATCCAGCACACTGAAGGCTGAAGACCCAGAGTATCCCCTTAGTACCAGAAGCATTTTCTTCCTCTCTGAGTGGCTCCTTTTCAGTCCCAGGGCCTAGGGCCATTCACTCTTCTACTACAGGGAAAATGTTTATACATGTCCCTATACAACAGTTCAGAAAGCTTTGTTTTAAACAAGTGCAGTTCACAGGATAAAATGTTTATATATGCTTTTATACAAACAAATGCTATGATCTTATAATCATTTCCAATGAAAAAATAAAGAGTACATGCAGAGTTGATTACAAATTGCAACTTTATCCTTTCAAGAGATAAAAGTCCTGAATAGAACTTCAGATTTCAGAGTTTTAGGAACTGCTTTTATCAAAGTTCTTGGCATGCATATGGATGTGTGCAGGCACACAAACACCTACACACACCCCACACATATAAACAGATTTCCCCATCTAATTCTAACTGTTTTCATATACTACATAATTCATACACTGAAAGAATGTACCACTTTCCTTACTGCTTTAGAACAAATCTCTCAGATGAATGTCTGTGGAGATCTTTAACACATACATACATGCAAGAATTTCTTCTTTCTAGTAATTTGAATCTTTTCAACAATTTTTTTTCCAAAAGGTGTGGGCCAGGGATATTCTATTTGAAAAAAAAAGTCTCTATAATAAGAAACCCAAGTGCTGGCAGCTGGCAAACATGAACTCCTCTGCCAGTTTTGGAGCTTTTAAAAATATACATTTGTTTATTTTTCCAGTTAGCTCCAACCAGCCACAAAAACATCCTGCTATGTGTCTCTTTGCTCCAGTTGCCACCCACTACTGGTGTTTCATCTCTTGGCCATGACAGCAGCAAATACAACATAGCACAAAAGCTGAAGAGAAATGTATATAGCAAGCAAAAAAGAGGGCAGGATATTTTAATGCAGTGACAACAGTGAGAAAGAGGGTGACAGCAGATAAAATGCAGCCCCAAAGAAACAAGCACAACAGAAGAGAATCAGGGAAGAGAAACCTCTCTTAGATACATTAAATAAAAGCTGTAACAGATCGTATATCAAAAGCAAGTCTGGGGTTGATGGTAAAAGCCATATGAAAACACTAGCAGTTCTTGAAAAAATTTAGTGAAGCAGAAAAGAGTACACACTCTGTGGGACAGAAAGCTTAGAAGTAAAAAAAAAATAAGCATGGGGAATGGTTTGTGCAGTTTGTGCAACCATTACAAAAGATCTGCCTACTTTTTCTTTACAGTTTGTGTGTTGATCATTAAAATGTGGCTGCTTCAGGCAATACAACTGAGTTAGCCCCCATGACTTCTTGCCGTTACAAAACATACAGGCAACACAGAGGTTTTGTCCTTCCCAACGGAATCTACAAAAGTACACAGCTTGCTGTCATTGATGCAAATGCAAGTTTAGGTGCTTTGGAAGAAACTATTCCAAAGGGAGAACAACATAGTGACATGAATCCCAAGGGAGCCCTGATAGAAAGTCCTGAAGGGGAGGCAGCTAAGAAGATTTTTTTAAAATCATTCCTTAAGAGTTACATTTTAAAATGTCAAAGCAAAAAGGAAGGGAGCTGGGAACTTAAATTCCACAGGTTGCAAGTTCAAGAGGTTAGAAAAATACAATAGGAGAGGAGGAAGAACTAGTGAGAGTCCTGCCAGGAACAAACTTAGGGACTCTGACCAAGGCATTTCGAAACGCTTCTCCAGCCACTCTCACACACTTTCTCTCCCTACATCGCTGTTCTTTACAGCTTAAGTGACTACAGTAGCCTTGATGACGATCCCTCCTGCCGCAAAACTACGTGTGCCTCTGTCGCAGTCTATGAAGTAATAATAGAACAATGATTAACCAAGTGAGGCAGATGGGTCAAAGCACACGCATCTGTCAAGACAAGGAGGAAAGCCGAAGGAGAAACCCATAAGAGCAGCAGACGAGGGGGGCAAAACGGCCAGGGCTCACATCGAACCAGGAAGCACTGGCGGGTGGAGGTGGGGTTAGGGGGAGAGAAGGAAAGCTAAGCTAGGATTAAACCTCGGCCGGGTCTCAGGCCTAACCCCTTTGAGGACAGCGCCCTGTGTCTTAAAAGATGCATGGCATAAAGACAGTCTCCTGCGCACGTGCAGAGTGCGCTTCGGCAATCCTCTCGGGGCAAAGCATCGCTGGTCCCGGCTCAGAGTCCAAGGAATACACGTCGCCCTGGACGGTCCTGGCCAGATCCGGGGGTGGGGGTGTGTGAGGGGTGTGGCAAGCGGGGTGGGGCAGGCAAGGAGGAGAAAGTCCCGCGGCCGCTCTCACACCCACCTAGGCGGAGCGCTCCCGCACCAAGCGACGGCAGGTGCTGGACTCCCTGCCGAGTCTCGGCGTTTCATGGCCGGCCGCCCCCGAGGACAATCCAAGTGCGCGTCCCCATCTCCTTCGCGGCCAGACCCGAAACGAGGCGCCGCGTTGCAAGAGGCTTCTTCGAAGACCAGCCACTTACTCCGTAACAGGCAGAGGACCCGGTCCCATTACGGCCACCGTACGCTACACTTCCGCCACCCCCTCCGGGAAAGAGACGGGAGAAACTTGCAGAACGAACCAATCATAGCCAACGTAGTGAAAAAGTAGACCAATGGATAGCTTCGTCCCGCCTCCCGTCCGCAGGGGACTCTGGAGACTGGAGTTTTTAACTAAACGGGAAGGGGGCTGTCGCGGCAGACCAATAAGAAGCGGAGCACGTGGTTCTGTAGCAAGCAGGGCTTCTAAAGTCATTTGTAATATTGGTTATATTGACTCAAAGGGAGTCGTCAGCGCTGGTTGAGCACGCCCGTGATTGTGACGTGTGGTTGAAGGCCTCGTTTATTTTCTAACAGTTTTCTTAGCTTGTACTTACCGACGCCGCGATCGGCAGTCCTGAAAGCGAACCGTTAATGGAACAAAACCTGTACAAAGCCAGCAGTTTTTAAGTTCAGGAAAATCCCTTTTAGGAGAGATATTGGATAATGATTAGGCTTCTTCACTGTTTAATCTTTTATGGTCTTTAATGTTCTGTGAAAAGCGTCTTTCTCTACAATATGGCATGTATATATTTGACTGTCAAAACGAAAGCTTGTAAGACAAACATTGCTGGATTTTTATTTTTTTGTAAAGTAAGATGTAGGCTCTCAAACAGCTGGCTGGTTCATCTATTCCAGTGGTTCTTAGCCTTTTTGAAAGAATCGCCCCCTTGAGCCACTGAGGAAGTTATCATTGCCCCCCCTCCCAGCGGCGCCGCGGCAGTGCCACCACCAGTGGTGCGGCAGTAGTAAAATCCAATCAAAACAGTAATGAATAGCAAGCTATCTAAAAATCACACATAGGTAGCTGGTTGACTGAGGGAAGGCTTGCCTGAAAAGAAAGATCTTTGCCTGGTCATGGAAGGAGAGCAATGAATGGGGCCAGCTTGTCCTCCAGTGGCAGGGAGTTCCAGAGGCTAGGATGCAGTTTCAATGTTTTTAGATAGAAATAAAGGAAGGGACATCTTGGTGCCACTCAGTTCTCATACAAAGGGAGCCTAGAGAAGTAGTGACCCTTTCCGCAAACTTTAATATTGAAGGAAAGGGGAATTCCTTGCAGGAAGACGAACGGGGGCAGGGGGGACCGGCTGTTGCTTGAAGGCAGCAGGAGGACGACGATGAGAAATGGGTTGAGGAAAAGGGCTTCTGCTTGCTGACATGGGCAGGAAGAGGAGCTGATCCGCGCAATCCGTGGGATCTAGAATGGGGGAGTTGTAGACGGGAAGCTTCCCAAGAGGAAGCTTCTTCATGAGGTAGGGGCAGTGTGGCTTAAAAGTGGGACTGGCTCCAATTTCTGGGCTTCGGGTCTCTCCCCTTGAGCTGGGAAGGTCCTCATTTTCCCAGGAGAGCCATGGGGGCATTGGGAAGGGGAGGGGCAGAAGTCCAGGGAAAAGCCTGGATGGAGCAAGAAGAGCACAGAGCTCATGCGAGCGCATGCACACCACCATTGCGGATTGCAGAACTGAGGTGGGATCTCTTCCTGGCCAACTGTACTGTGGCTCAGGGGATGGGTGGGAGAGATGAAGACCCCCTTCCCTGGTTTTTCAGGGTCCCACATTCTCCTCACCAAAGAGCGGTGGATGCAGCAGCATTTGGGGACTCCGATGGAAATCGGGAGGAGGAGTGAGAAAGGATCTGCAAGTCATCAAACTTTCACTACACTTTGAGCACAGGGTCTCTCCTGGGTCCTCCACTGGTGTCAAAGACCAGCTCTTTTTTCCTTTTTGCTGTAGACATGATGGTGGCAGATGGCAGTGAAGGCTCAGAAGGAAAGCTCTCTCTTCCCCCCTCCCGTGGCGGCGGTGGCAGGGGGTGGTGGCAGGAGGGGGGCAGTGTGAAGGGGGTGTGAAATTTGCTAAATTCTTGAAATGAGGTGAACTAGGATTCCCATTCATCTTCAGTAGCATCTTCATCAAGAAGACCATGGGGAAAAAGAGTTGCCAACTCTAATTTAGTACTGTCCCATTTGGATCCACATCGATTCAAACCCAAAGTTTTCTGAGTGAAGCAGTTTGACCCAGCCTTAAAACTTGATGGACTAATCTGTCTATAAAAACGTCATTTCATCACATTTGCAGATTTTAGTAAGTTCTACAATCAGTTGGAATGAAATTCTCAGCCTCACTTGCCCCTTTTCATTCCATCGCCCCCTGAAAAACAAAATCGCCCCCTGGGGAACGATATCACCCAGGTTAAGAACCACTGATCTATTCTACACTGTGCCTCCTGGGAGACAAGCCAACCTGTCTAACCTTGGGCAAACGGCATAGTCCTAGAATGTCCCCAGAAGAAGGGAGTGGTAAGCTACTTCTGAGTACAGTGGTGCCTCGCTTGATGACATTAATTCGTTCCAGCAAAATCATTGTAGAGCGAAAACGTCGTCAAATGAAACTTAAAAAACCATCGAAACATCTACACTGTGCCTCCTGGGAGACAAGCCAACCTGTCTAACCTTGGGCAAACGGCATAGTCCTAGAATGTCCCCAGAAGAAGGGAGTGGTAAGCTACTTCTGAGTACAGTGGTGCCTCGCTTGATGACATTAATTCGTTCCAGCAAAATCATTGTAGAGCGAAAACGTCGTCAAATGAAACTTAAAAAACCATCGAAACACATTGAAAACCAATGTGTTCCAATGGGCTGAATACCTGCTCGTCCAGAAGATCCTCCATACAGCAGCCATTTTCTGGTGCCTGTTAAGCAAAAAATCAGTCCTAAAAACAGCAGGGGGCCATTTTCTTTAGCCGGTGGCCATTTTGAAACCCAACGATCAGCTGTTTGCTGATTGTCGTAAAGCGAAAATCGGTTCCCGAAGCAGGGAACTGATCATCGTCAAACGAAAAAACCCCATTTAAGCCATCGTTTTGCGATCGCAAAAACTTCAGTGTTAAGCGGATTTGTCGTAGAGCGGGGTAAATGTCCAGCGGGGTACAACTGTACCTAGAAAATGCATGAAAATCCACAACAGGAACTGGATAGGGGATCTGTGTCCATGCTGGTTTTGATGGACCTCTCAGCAGCTTTCAGTACTATCAACCACAGTATTCCCCTGTCCCATCTCTCTGGAATGAGACCTGGGGGCATTATTTTACAGTGGCTCCAGCCTTCCCTGGAGGAGAGACCTCAGAAGGTGGTGCTGGAGGACTCCTGTTCAGAAACCTTGGCCGCTGACCTATAGAGTCCCTCAGGGTTCTGTTTTGTCTCCTATGTTATTTAACATCTACATGAAACCACTGGGAGAGACTATCCAGAGTTTTGGGGTTCAGTGTCACCAGTAAGCAGAGGACACCCAACCTTACCACATAAACCTGAGGAAGCTACTTCAGCTCTAGATCAGTATTTGGTATCAGTAATAGACTGGATGAGGTTGAATTAATTGAAACTCAATCCAGACAAGACAGAGGCATTCCTGGGCAGTTGAAAGGCAGATCAAGGAATAGGGATGCAGCCAGTACTGGATAGGATTACACTCCCATTGAAAAAAACAGATGAACAGCTGGGGGGTGCTCCTGGATTCATCCCAGAATCTGGACACCCAGGTCTCAGTGGTGGCCAGGAGTGCATTTGCACAATTAAAACTAGTGCACCAGCTATGTCCATTTCTCAAGTTATCTGATCTGGCCACTGTTATGCACATCTTAAATTACTTCCCAGCTGGATTACTGTAATGTGCTCTATGTGGCGTTATCAATGGAAAGTGTTCAACGGGTCCAAAATGCAGCACCCAGATTGACTGGAGCTAGTCACAGGGATCTCATAACCCAGTTACAGCAGCTCCACTGGCTGCTGATCAGTTACTGGGTACAATTTAAAGTGCTGGTTGTAACCTACAAAGCCCTGAATGACCTGGTCCCAATCGATCCTAAAGACCATATCTCCCATTGTGAGCTGGCTTGGGTGTTAAGATAATCAGGAGAGGCCGTTCTCTCAGTCCCACCACCTTCACAGGTGCATCTGATGGGGACACATGAGAGACCCTTCTCTGTTGCTGCTCCCAGACTCTGGAACTCCCTCCCACAGGAGGCCAGACAGGCCCCATCTGTCACAGTCCAGGATATCCCAGGCAGTCCTGTACCAGGGGCAAGGGCACCAGGACCCAGTCCACCACGCAGAGTATCAAGTCCTATGCCACTCACTGTGCAGTTGACCGTGACTAAACAGAGGCAGGAACACAAGGCTGACAACATCCCTGTAGAATTGCTGAGGCCAGTACCAACAGCAATTACTGTATCAGAGTCTTGTGCCAGAAAATTTGGGAAACCAACACATGGCCAGAAAACTGGAAACAATCAGTGTTTATTCCGTTATTTAAAAAGGGGGATTCGAAGGATTGTTCTAACTACAGCACAATTGCTCACATCTCTCTTGCTAAGTAAGATCTTAGTGAAAACTATACAACAACACAGGGCACCAGTCATAAATTGCCAAATATCCAAGCTGGTTATCATCTGGGTCATGGCACCCGTGATCACATTGCAAATATTCAATGGATAATGGGAAAATGTTATGAATATCATAAGAACATCTATAAGTGTTTCATCGATTATAGGAATGCTTTTGACTTCATCATCATTTTGCCACATATCCAAGCTGGTTACTGTCTGGGTCATGGCACCCATGATCACATAGCAAATATTCGATGGATAATGGGAAAATGTTATGACGATCACAAGAACATCTATATGTGTTTCATCGATTATAGGAATGCTTTTGACTGTATTGACCATGACAAACTGTGGAGAGCCCTAGAAGAACTGGGAGTGCCACTACATTTGATGAAATTGGTGAAATCACTTTATGAAAATCAGGACACCACTGTACAAACTCAATATGGAGACACTGACTGGTTTAAAAGCAAGAAAGGTGTGTGACAAGGTAACATCCTGTCATCTTTCTTATTCAACTTCACACTGAAGTGATAATCAGAAAGCTGGAGTTAGAAGAATCAAAAACTGGCTGGGAGTGCCACTACATTTGATGAAGTTGGTGAAATCACTTTATGAAAATCAGGATGCCACTGTACGAACTCAATATGGAGACACTGACTGGTTTAAAAGCAAGAAAGGTGTGTGACAAGGTAATATCCTGTCACCTTTCTTATTCAACTTGCACACTGAAGTGATAATCAGAAAGCTGGAGTTAGAAGAATCAAAACTTGGAGTAAAAATTGGTGGAAGAAACATCAATAACCTGCGATATCCTGACTTATTGAGCAGCATAACATACTTACCCTGGTGAAGAAGTTAAATGAGGAACCATTGTGAGATAAGGAGCTGTTATCTCAGGATGATTATATCATAAGCTAGCAATCAGAGAGCAACCACCAAAAAAAAATCCATGTTTTTGTCCAGGAAAGCTAGGAATAAAGAGGGGGGCGGGGAAGTCACCTGGATTTCTAGAAGATTTTCTTTTTCAGAAGGAATGCTGCTGTTGGCAAGCAGTTCTGCCAGCTTTGATGGCTCATGCAGTATATTCTTCTTTAGTGTGACATATGCAAATATCTTGCTCTGCATGGCTGGGCATGAATCCTGACTTTCTGCACCTGTGAACATCAAGTTCTTTCTTGGGCTTTAAATAGCTAAAATTGCCATTATATAGTTTTCTGTGGGAGGTAGTTTCTAATCCTCCAGTATAGGCACATTCTGTGGGAGGGATAATGAGGACAGCAGTTCCTCATACTGTACATTCATTGACAGGCCTAGCTGGAGACCCATCAGATGAAACAGTGCAGGATTATGAAACTAGAGCATAAATAGAATTCCTCTGTATAATATGGAGACAGCATGAATCACTCCAGCTGGCACGTACTGAAGAAAGAAGGTGCCCACAGGGCAAGGCGGCTTGAATATCCAAGGCAAGCAACAACAAGACATGTTTTTCTCCAGGAAAGCTAGGAATAAAGAGGGGGGTGGGAAGGCACCTGGATTTCTAGAAGATTTTCTTTTTCAGAAGGAATGCTGCTGTTGGCAAGCAGTTCTGCCAGCTTTGATGGCTGATGCAGTATATTCTTCTTTAGTGTGACATATGCAAATATCTTGCTCTGCATGGCTGGGCATGAATCCTGACTTTCTGCACCTGTGAACATCAAGTTCTTTCTTGGGCTTTAAATAGCTAAAATTGCCATTATATAGTTTTCTGTGGGAGGTAGTTTCTAATCCTCCAGTATAGGCACATTCTGTGGGAGGGATAATGAGGACAGCAGTTCCTCATACTGTACATTCATTGACAGGCCTAGCTGGAGACCCATCAGATGAAACAGTGCAGGATTATGAAGCTAGAGCATAAATAGAATTCCTCTGTATAATATGGAGACAGCATGAATCACTCCAGCTGACACGTACTGAAGAAAGAAGGTGCCCACAGGGCAAGGCGGCTTGAATATCCAAGGCAAGCAACAACAAGACGTATGCTCCAGATCACATCTCTGAATCACAATCTTACTAGTAAACATGTGTACATACAGCCTGCTAGTCTTACACGTGGTAAACTTTTGTTCTTCTGGCACAAACTTGGCTGGCACATCAGGACAGGCTGGAGGCAGAGAAGAAACGAACAAACATGCAAGAGTTTGCCTCTGGGCACAATTTGCCTCACCACTGCACAGCATGTTTTTGCTGTGCAAGTGCAGCTACACAAAGACAACATCTACTTTGCCCAGGTAAAGACTTCTCCTTGTCATACAACAGGGTGTGTACCAGAGGTTAGATAGCTACTTGTAAAATACATAATTGGTAGCAATTATGGAACCAAGCATTGTTCCCCTAAGTTGTAATTGTTAAAAAAAGTAACTCATTTCGCATTTCTCCGCCTTATATAATATACAGTATACACTTCTGAAGTTTCTTTTGGGGAGTCAAAGCATCCGAATGGCACAAGCTACAGTGGGGTCTTGACTTGAGAACTTAATCCGTATTGGAAGGCGGTTCTCAAGTCAAAAAGTTCTCAGGTCAAATCTGTATTTCCCATAGGAATGCATTGAAAACCATTTGATCCGTATCTGCTCTTTTCCGTCCATACAAACTAATGGGAAGATGCTATTCTGCCTTCGACCACTAGAGGGGGATATTTTATTTCTTTTTTTCTTAGGTCAAGAAAGGTTCAGGGAAGGCAGGGAAAATACAGTCCAGGCAGGCCAGTACCAGGCAGTCCGAAGACTGTCTCCCAATCCACTCTCTAAACGCTGGGAGGAGGGAGGAAGCAGACAGGCACCCTTTTCACTGGCCAACAGTTAACTGAAAGTTCACATTTTGCACTTTCCCTGCCTCCCATGTGGTTTTTTTCAGTTCTTAACTCAAATCTAAGTACTTAAGTCAAGTCAATATTTTCTTATGAGAGTGGTTCTTAAGTTAAAATGTTCTTAACTCAAGCCGTTCTTAAGTCAAGACCCCACTGTACTTGCCTGTGCTGCCAAACATTCTCTCCTCCATTCCACCTCACTGTTGCCTCAATACCCACAACAGGAGAGGAGGAAGCAACGGCACCGCGTGAGGCTCCTCTACCACCCCATCTATGGAGTCCCACTCTCATAGTTTTTAAAAAAGTACCTCAGAAGTTACAATTGCACTGCAAAATGAGTGATGTCCCCCCCACTGAGCTACAGTAAATATAAATGTAGTTATATCTTTGTTACCAGCAAAATGAACTAATCACAAGTAAACAGCTACTTCCAAACTCAGCCTTAAATCTTCAAGTGCAGTGTACAGCAATCATTTCCATTAAAGATAGCAAAAAGTAAAAGTATTGCCTATGTTAGGGGTAGGGGGGAAATAACATATATACAGTAATGAATTTCTTGACTTTGAAGGTGTTATATGATCATTGTTTTATCTTAATTAAGTTCATGTGGAATGTGGCATAAGGCAGTGTAGTGCAACAGCTGCAACACTGGAATTGGGAAGCCTGAGTTCAGGCCCCCACTGAGCCATGAAACTCACCTTGTGGTCTTCATATGACTCATTATAGGTTTCCTGAATTTCATGGATACAAGGAAACAAAGAAATAATAAATAAACCAAGCCCATACCCCTGAACATTGGGACCATTTTTAATCCCTTATAAGGCTCAGATGGGCTGACAACTATGAACTATAAACTGCAATGAAAGGCACATGAGCCACTTGGCAAGGTGCAGAATGCTAGAGGATGTACCCAGACCTCTGCCTCTTCCATGTGTGTACAACTATATGCATTGTCTACACAGTTGGGTTTCTTCTGACTTGCTGCCTATCTGCTTCCATAGCTTCGCTGCTTCCCTGCCTAGCAAAACACCTTGGCCCTGAGGACCCCTGAAACAAGGCATTAACTCTATAGATTGCCAGGAAGCAGCCATGGTATTGATGTAGACATGTGATAAAGAACAAATAGTGACACCCCTTCTTCCCCATCCCCAAGCATTGCTATGTACAGTAGCATTGAGGATGGCTTCAGGCAGCATGAGGGCTAAGCACTGCACTCTGCCATTGTGAACATGACAACGGTCAGTAGATTTTTGCCATGTAACTTTAAAAAAATAATAATATGAGGGCAGGTTGTAATTAGATGTAATTCTGGGATTCTATCAGCCAGAGCTCGTAATTTAGCTCATAATTTAGTGATAGGTACAAACTGTTGGTTTGGTTTCCAGCCACTCAGTGGCAGAACCGAGAGAAGGTGGGGCAGGGAAGACAGGGTGCTGTTTCTGAGTGGGCACCCACCAAAGGAGGCGGAGCTTTGAAGTGTCAAACACATTATCACCTGCTAAATGAATCAGCGTAATCCACTGAAATGATGATTCATGCCCATCTCTAACAAGAGCCTAAACTCTCAGTTCAGAAAACAAGCATTTAAATTGGGGCAACAGTCAACACAACAAATCAGTGATTGAAAATGAAACAGATTTTCCCAAAGACAACAACTGATAACAATGTAAATTATGCCCAATGCTATGAATGTCATGTTTAGTAATCAATGCCGTGGAAGGTTTAGGAAAATGAAGATTGTATTTTAAAAGAGAGAGCATGAAATAAACACAGAAATATATTTTCCTGAGTTTAGAATCTCCGTTTCTGATCTTAAGACTTGCTTTCACAATTTTAATGAATGTTTATCTGATGGTATTAGTTGAACAGGCTCATTTCAATTTTATAATCAATGACTGAGTGATCATTAGATAGCATGCTGAAAAAGTAGCCCACCTATTTCACTTTTACCTCATACATGCATTATATAGAAACTTTAAAATAATCTAAGATCCATTCTTATCCCAAAATATGGTTATAAAACTTAGAATCTCACTCTGCCATTCCCAGAATATTTAAGCTGTCACCCCCAAATGTAATTACAACTTCTATAATAGTTCAAGAGCAATAAAGTCCTCATGTTGGGGCCAAGCCCTGATTGGAAGGCATCTTCAAGTAATGTTCTTTACAATTATTTTAAACAACTCTATTCTTTATTTCGTCCTCTTCCAAAAGGAGGACCATATTTTATCATTCCATTTGTCTTCTGATGTGACTGGAATTCTCTGAGCAAAGCATCAAAGAGCAAGTTAACTGTCACTTGTCCGACGACGTCCCAAGCTGAATGACCCTTTGTGGATCTTCATATGTTTGGATAAGTGGTCACTGCGGGCAAATTTCTTTTCACACACTTGACACTGGTAAGGCTTGAGTCCAGAATGGGAGCGCTTGTGGCGAGAAAGCTCATCTGAACGGGAGAACCTGCCAGACAGAAGACAAGATGTTTACTGCCCATTTGAACTAATCAAGAGAGCTTGCTTTTTCAGTCAGTGTTACCACAGCAAAACTGTAGCTGAGAGAGAACATTCTTGAACATAGAAGAAATGAGCTAGCTCATTATGCTCCAGTCTGAATCTCAAGAATGCAATGTGTCTGCATTCATTTCTGAAACTACATTTCCCATCCATATTTTGAGATCACATATAGAGAAGACCAGACAACAGCTGTAGACATGAGCCTTAGTAATGTGGGAGTGGACAGCTGCAATTCTAAGGGCCTTTTCACACAGTTTGTGCAGTTTTATAGGTGGTGGAGTAGGTGAGCCAGTCTTCAGTTCAAACATATGCACACCTGACCCATGTATGTGAATAGTACCAAGGAGAAAAGGAAAGACAGCACTTCAGAAGTTCAAAAAGATGAAATGTGTTCTTGTATACCTCTGACATTCTATTGCCCTCTGGATTATTGTCCATGGCTAACTTTTTCCCCTTTTTATATATGAACCTGGCCATGTACACAAGAAAACAGAAGCTGCTGCTCTTCGCACACTTCCCACAGTGTCTTCTGACAAAGGAAACTCCAATACTATGAGAAATATTAACAAAGTCATTGGGTTTTTGTAAAATCCTGTTTTTCTTTATAGAATGAGGAAAACAGATGCAGAAAGAAGCATCAATTGTCCAATGTTACATAACATTTCAAGAACAGAACAGACATGACCTCACGGTCAATCTCAGTGCCACAGCTAAAAAAGGAGAGAGCTCAACCAGATACTTAGCTTCTTAATTCTAAAGGAGCCCTTGTTCAACCCAAACAGATTTGTGAGAGGAAAGACACAGAACAGGGGTGGCCTGATTTCAAAAGCCCTCAGCAAGCAAACAGTTGAGGCCTCTGGCCCACTGTTTCTCTCACACTGTAGCTATCTCAGGAGGGAGTAGAAAGGAGATAAAGGGGCACAAGAGGGAGGGGGAGGGAGAGAGAGAAGAAGAAGACGAAGAAGAAGATGGAAGGATTGACAGAAAGAGGGGGGGAAAGAAAGGGGTCCAAGGGGGAGAGTGAAGAGGGGGGCATAAAGAAAGAGAGGAAAAGAAATGTGTTAGAGTAGAAAGGAGATAAAGGGGCACAGGAGAGAGAGAGAGAGAGAGAGAGATGAATGTGGAGAAGAGAATGGGAAAAACAAAGGAAAGAAGGAGGGGAAGGAGAGTGGGAGAGAGAGAGAGACAGGCAGACTGTGAAGGAAATGAAAGAGGGTGGCAGAACGGGTTGGAAGTACAAAAGAGAACAGGAGAATGGGTGAGAGTGTGTTGGAGAGAGAGAAAGAGAAAGAGAGAAGAAGATGGAAGGATTTGTCAGAAAGAGAAAGAAAAAAACATCACAGGAGGAAGACAGAAAGAAAAAGGTGGCAATAGAAATGAAAGAGGATGCAGACAGAGAGAGTGAAAGAAAAGAGGATTGGAGAAAGAGGGAGACTGAAAAGAAAAAAGGGAAGGATCCTTCCTCTACTGTCTCTGCCCACTGCTGCCCTGAGATCTGACTGGGAGACTGGAACGACATATTGCAGATCGCCCACAGTAAACTTTGTGAGCTGTCTGTAAACTGAAGCAAAACCACTCCAATCACACACCTGTTTTACTATGCCAAAAAGAGGAGCCACTGGCTCTCTTCCCCCCCCCCCCCGACAAGAAAACGCTTATCCCAGGGCCAAAGTAGCTGGGAAACCTCCCAGCACTGGCCACTCAGCAACATTGCTTTTGCTGAGGGGGGCAGGAATCAGCTTCAGCAGCTCCATTTTCGCTACAAACATGGAGCATATGAAGACTCTGCTGCTGTTCATCCTTCACAAAATGGGATCGTTCAGTGGACAGCTGGACCATGGCAGCCAGAGAGTGCGTCTTGGTGGCGGCGGCATCAGCAGGTGTCTCCCTCGCTGTCAAAGACACCTCCCCTCCTCCTGCTGCCGCTGCGCTCTCAGTCACCACAAGCAAGCCCGCTGGAAGACAAAGAGGCCTCTCCCTCAGCTAAAGCCCTGCTTCGCTTTAAAATGGTGCTCAAGGTACAATATTTTAAAGTGAAGTAAGACAGATGTCAAGGGAAGGGGGTCTCCCTTGCTATCAGCAGGGGTCTCCCTCGCTGTCAAAGACACCTCCCCTCCTCCTGCTGCCGCTGCGCTCTCAGTCACTACAAGCAAGCCCGCTGGAAGAAGAGGCCTCTCCCTCACCTAAAGCCCTGCTTCGCTTTAAAATGGTGCTCAAGGTGCAATATTTTAAAGTGAAGCAAGACAGATGTCAAGGGAAGAGACAGAAGCAGTTTCATATTGAAACCAATTTTGCACAAGCGGGTAGTTCCAGGTGGATCTTTTGGAGGTTATTAATTTATAGAAGTACCATAACTCAGAAGAGATTTGATGGCATATAACTGCAATGGCCTTTAATAAGAAACAACTCGATTTAAAAAAAAAATAAAACATTAGTCAATATTGAATTGCTCTTAATTGCTATAATTTTTAATTAGCTATTCATGTCATACTCTCATCCCTAGTTAGAGGACCAGCCCTTGCCGCTCCAGTCCTGCAGAGACTCTTCAAGAGGGCTTGCTTGTCCTAAGCAGAATCCCTTCTTTCCCTCTTCTGCTTCTTCAGTGGGTTTTTGCAGCAAAAGGAGTTACAAATCTGTTGTTTCATCCTATGCTTCTTTTTGTGGTACAAAAATTAAATATAACAACACATTAAATATAACACATAACAATTTTCAAGCTTCAAAACTGATTGCGGTGTAATATCTTCATTAGGCCAACTGAAAGGTTTTCAAAAAAGGGCAAGCTTTATTTCCAGGTTTCTTCAACAGGCAAAATGTTATTTAAAAAAAAAAAAGGCTGGAAGGGGGTGTTACATACAGCACTGATGTTACCTGTCTGTCATGGGTTTGGAGGGAAAGTTCCAGCCTATGGGGAGTGGAAGGCGGGACATCAGGAGGAGGGGCTGTACTGTATATATATGTGGAGCTTGTGTGGAGAAGTAAGGAGAAGCTGGAGAAGAGCTGAGAGAAGAAGCTTGAGTGGGAGTCTGTGTGTCAGACAGGGTACTACTGTGTGTCAGTCAGTACCAACCTGATAGGTTCAGGTGTCTGTAGGGTTAGCCAGAACTGATAGGTTCAGGGTCTGTGCTTTAGTTAAATGCGTTCTGTGTGAACCAAACTAGTGTATGTATGATTGAGACTAAGCCACGTTACTGTATCTTATTCATTTGATCATTTTATTTTCCCTGTGTGTTATGTAAATAAACCTTGTTCTTTTATTTGTTAAAAATCCATCCCTGGTCTGTGTGACTTCTTATAGGGAATGGTTGGTGGCAGCTTAGTGAAACTGTGGCATATCCCAGTAGGTCTGGGTTTGTCACAGGGGGATGTTATTGATGGAAGTAAAATGGCTGACTTGAGGCCAAAATCATAGCAAATGCCAGCAGATTGGAGAGTGAGCCCTGGCAGCCTGCAGTTTGTTCCGGAGGCGCCTCATCCCATCACCACACAAGGCGAAAGGTTCTTTGCACATCTTCAAGCCTCAAAACATGCCTGAGGTTCCACTTTCCAGAGCAAACACGTAAGCTGGCACACTTGGACAAAACCAGCGCTGACTTGAGGCCAAAATCATAGCAAATGCCAGCAGATTGGAGAGTGAGCCCTGGCAGCCTGCAGTTTGTTCCGGAGGCGCCTCATCCCATCACCACACAAGGCGAAAGGTTCTTTGCACATCTTCAAGCCTCAAAACATGCCTGAGGTTCCACTTTCCAGAGCAAACACGTAAGCTGGCACACTTGGACAAAACCAGCAAATATAAAATCACAGCCACAAACTTTGCCACATTCTAGTTTCCCTTCTCCGTTTTGGCAGAAGAGAAAACATAAAAGAGTCTTGATTAATTATTCCAAACAGCTATTTAGATGCATTCTGGAACCAAGAAGCAAGATATGAAAGCAACATCCCTATTATGCCTATTAACCACTGACATAGCCACCCTTCAGGATTTTGTCTAACCCTTCTAAGTCAGTGCCATGATCATAACTGGTAAAACTCAATTCCATACATTAACTGTATATCATTAAGCAGCATCTTTTCCACCTTCTTCTTCAAGTTGGAACTGATTTATAGTGGCCCTAATAGGGCTGTCAAAGGGAGTGAGATATCTAAGGAGTGCTTTTACCAATTCCATTCCCACAGTGAGTTTTGATGTATAAGGATGGATTCGAATTCAAGCCTCCTGAGTCCTAGTCTGTCACCCTATCCACTACACCCACCTCTATTTTTTAGATTACAACTCCCAAAATCCCCCAGCCCCTAAGGCCAGTGGCTACCTGGGACATTCGGGAAACCAGGGTGGTTGGTTTTTTTAAAAACGCTGTCAAAATTGCGTTCAATGCATTCCAATGGGCGAGAAAAAAATTCACCAAAAATTAACGAAGACTTGGAACAAAACCAAATTAAGTTTGCACACGTTTTAGAAGGTTCTCTAATGAATCCAACCATTTAAAACAGTTTCTGAGTCTTCATTAATTTTTGGTGATTTTTTTCCTCCCCCATTGGAATGCACTGAAGTGCCTGTTTGACAGCTGTCAAAATTGGGTTCAATGCATTCCAATGGGGGAGAAAAGAAATTCACCAAAAATTAACGAAGAGTCAGAACAAAGCCAAATTAAGTTTACACACGTTTTCGAAGGTGCACTAACGATTCCAAGCATTTAAAACAGTTTTTGAACATTTTAAGACACTTTAAAAATTGCAAAAACGGACATCGCAAAACCATTGAAATGCATTGAATAGGCTTCAATGCATTCCAATGGGGGAAACATTATATCGCTTAGCGATGTTTCCTATGGCGATTTTCGCTTAAGGACGGCAATCCGTTCCTATTGGAATGGATTATCCAGTTTTCAATGCATCTCTATGGGAAAACGTGTTTCGCTTAGCGATGTTTTTCCATAGCGATGTGTTTTTTTGAACCAATTAAAATCGTTAAGCGAGGCACCACTGTAGTTATAACTATAACTATAGCTATAAGTATAACTAAGTTAAGTTATACTTATAGCTATAGTTATAAGTATACTTAAGTCAAGTTATACTTAACTTTTAAAAAATCTCGCCATGGGAGACAAGCTCTGTTTCTTGACCTATCATACAAAAACAAACCTTAGGACTGTTGCCCTCAGATAATAACTGTAAAAAAGAAATAAGAAGTGTCTTGGAAAATAAGCTTTTCTTCCTATAACTTGTTTGTGTGTGTGTGTGTGTGTGTGTGTGTGTGTGTGTGTGCGTGCGTGCGCGCGCGCATGCATGTGTGCAGTTTATGTGGCAGGAGATGAGGAGGAAGGTGCTCTGTGTATGTGTGCTCCTGTGCTCCATTAGGCTTTCCTTTCTGCATCAGTTCAAAGCGATCACACACTTTGAATTAAAGGGAAAATTTGACTTTTAAAAAGTAGAAAAGTAGAAGTCTCTTTGTTAGGGAGGAAAAGCTATGGATTATGGATGCAGAACTGTAGGCTGATTCACATTTTGCATTTCGTCATGTACATTTATGTAAAGGCTGTACATGTTATTTCCAAATCCCTTTCCTAAAGATCACTAGGAAGGAGTTTGCTTTTATTTCTCCACACTAGTGAACTATCTCCAGCCCTTCTTAAGATTAGGCCTAAACTGCATATCTGGCCAGGAAATTTTTCCCTACAGAGTGCATCACTTCAGTACCATAAAGCACACCCTTCGCTAATGAGCTACAGCTGCTCTCAAAGGATCACACACACACACACACACACACACACACACTGCCCCCCCCCAGTCTGTTCTCACAGGAAAAAGCTACAGTGGATCCAGGATTCCAGGCAGCTTGAGAGCAGCACTCTCACAGGAGTCTTCTCTGCAGTCTTGAGGCAGATAAGGCCTACCCATCTCCTATTTTTCATACTCTTGCATGAATGCACACATCCTACTGTCTAAACCAGAGATTTCACTAGGCTATTTCCTCTTATCATAAGCAGACACTGAGACTAACAGAGTACAGCTCTGAGAAAGGGTTGCAAAGCTCCCTGGAAACCTGGGCGAATGTGCACTCATCAGCTGCAATCTCTCCACATTTCAAAAGTTTCCACTGATACAATGACCAGCTGGCAGCTTTTAAATTTTGAATAAAACCATCTGCTTGAGAAAGAGATAACATGCACAGTGCGTTATCCCACGAATGCAATTCCTTATGGTTTTGCAACTTCATCCCATAAGATATATCCTGTAGTTTTGGGGAGAGGGGAAAGGAGGGCATAAAAATAATAGTTACATGAAATCATGCCCTAGCCTGTTCTAAAATTAATGACAAAGCAGGCTTTTATTATAGCCAGCTAAACATATGCAACGTTGTACAGGGCAAGGTTTCATGATACCCCAAATTCTTCATCAGGCAAAATGTAACAAAGTCCCCATTAGGGGTGGTGGAGGAAAGAAAGGCTGACCTAATGCTGAAATCATGGTTTGCTACATACAGAGCCCATATGTGGAAAATCGATTATATCCCAGGGCACAGAAACTTGTAGCATAGCAGCCAAACTACTAAAAGAAAGAATTCTTGGAAAAGCAGAAACACTGTGGTAAAATTATTCAAGAAGCTATTGAAAAAAATATATATTAGCTACAACTGCATGGAGTGGGGAAGAGCAGAGTATCTTTATTTGTCTAGCAAGGTAACGCAGAGCTCATACATCTTTAAAGTCATGGTGGGCAGCATGTGCCCTTCGAATGAAATACAGTCCCACAGAACTCCTGAAGCCCATCTGGATGCCAATGCACAAACCCAAAATAGGTGGCCACTAGAGGGCACAACAGGATTTTTTCAATAAAAAAAAATTTTCTCTGAAGAAATAAAAATGGGAGGGGAGGATTACAAGAGAAAAAAATGTGCCCCTACTCCAAGGTCCATGCCTGTTTTCATCCTACCATTATATGATCTGTTTAGCTTAATCAGGCTACAGTCCTAAGCATACTTGCTATGTGTTCTCAAGTCAGAACTGACTTATAGTGACCAGCCTTCCATCCTTTCGAGGTCGGTAAAATGAGTACCCAGCTTGCTGGGGGGGCAATGTGGAGCCTGTATAATTAAATTGTAAACCGCCCGGAGAGTGCTTGTAGCGCTATGGGGCGGTATATAAGTCCAATAAATAATAAATAAATAAATAAATAAATAAATAAATAAATAAATAAATAAATAAATAAATAAATAAATAAATAAATAAATAAATAAAGGAGGTTTTAAGGTAAGTGAGATATTTAAGGAGTGGTTCTACCAGTTCTACACCCCCAGTGAGTTTCCATGGCTGAGCAAGGATTTGAACCCAGACCTCCTGAGTCCCAATCCATTACTCTACACACTCCATCACACTGGGTATCCCCCAAGCACACTTACTTAGCAATAAACTCCACTGAATGCAGGGAGGATTGACATGTGAAAAACTACAGGTTGATTGTTGCTTGGGAGACATTGTTGGTTGAGAGAAAAGCTAAAGTGATTCAGGAAAGCTGAACTAATTTCAGAAGCTTCATTTAAGCACATAATTGTGTTAAAAGTAAGATCGCCCCAGGTCTGAACTATTAATCATACTGGATGGAGTATTCTGGGAATTTGAGTCTAAAAATGTAATTCAGGAATATAAGAAACTGTCTCTCCAGAAGTTCAAGTAGGAGTTTTGAAGATGCTAGGGATTGAACCTGGGACATCAGCAACAGGCACTCAGCTACTCAGCTTCATCCTTTTCCAAGCTTTTGATAACTAATCAATCACACAGAATCAAATGACCACACGAAAAAAAAACCTTATTTTTAAAAGGCACCTTTCATTGTTGCACACTTACCTCCACCCACAGTCAGGCCAATTGCAGGTGTAAGGTTTTTCTCCAGTGTGGCGTCGGAAGTGTGCTTTCAGGTGAGAACTCTTGGTGTACATCTTGGTGCAACCGGGATGTGTGCACTTGTGGACTCGGATGACAGATGCAGAGGCTTTGGAGATTTTGGCTTCCACAGTTTTTGTGATTCCAAACTGGCCTCCAGGCCTCAGTGCTAAGGGCAGAGGGGCAATTCGGACATATTTTTGGTCTGTACTTTTCACAGGACTTTGAACAACCTGTGGAAGAACAGTCAAGTTCTGGCCCTCCATTTTGATGATCAAGTGGGCCACCCTGACTCCACCAATAAGGCTTTGAGCAGATGAGGGACTTTCACTCATTTGAATGGGCTGGATCTGAAGCATTACAGGGACAGTCCCCATGCCTCCTACTATGTTTATTCCATCAGCAACTACTCCAGCCTGAGCAGAGCTTGAAAGATCTTCCTCTGGAGGAGTTCCAGGAACACATTGTTCTCCAGGGTTGCTCAAGTTGATTTCAGATTTTATCTTCAGCTGACTTCCCACCTGCTGTTTCTCATCCTTGAGAGTTGTCTTCTCATTTAGAAATTCTTCAATCTCCTCCAGTGTAGGGATGAAGTCCCTAGAAAGTTCTGTACAAGAATAAGGTAGCTTGAGGTAAGCTTCATAAACCATAGTCTGTGGTTTCTCCTTTTCCTTTTTCACCTTAGATGACGAAATATCCGTCTCTGGTGCGCTAATTAGGTTGGATATAACTGCCGGATTAGACACTTGCTCCTCATTGTAGTCCTGCAGCAGATTTAAGGGTGGCATCTCTGGCTCAAGAACATCTGAAGAACTGTCTAGCTGAATAGAAGCTGGGGCGGTCAGTGGTCCTGAAGGAGAAACCAGTTTGCTATGATTTACTGAGACCATTGGTAGGTCTCCCCCCTCATAAAAAGGTGTAGTGATGGGTGTATATAAAGCTATTTAAGCAGTTGAGCTGAAAATGATGCTCCTTGGAAAGCTACAGAGCCACCTGCAAAAAGATAACCACAAGCAAGTACCTTGGTTAAAAATAACAACTCAGGGAACACAGAAGACTTGGGTAGGTCTATATTCAGCAGAAGCAAAGGACAGCAGTTTATACAAACAAATTTAGTAGAAATACTGTACTTTATAAATAAATAAAGTAAATAAATAAATTATAAATAACTAAATATAGTATAAAGAGTATATAAATAAATTTAATATAAACAATTTCAACATCCAACAACACTTTACAATCAAGGCCTTCTCTTAAAAGATAACATCCTGCACAAACAGTTGCAATCTATATTGGTAGAAGGATTGCCTGCAGCAATAGAATAACAAATTTTCAAAGTGTCAAGGCATTGGTTAACCCCAAATAGAAAGTCCAAGGTTATAAAACTACAGAATCCAAAAGAGCCTTGCCTGAGAAACATAGCATTTGTCCATTTACTGTAATAGTTTCCCTATCTCTCATGGCTAAGAAATTTCAAGTGCCAAGACATGATTGTCTCTCCAAAAAGTGTATTCTATAGTACAAGTGGTGCCTCGCTTAGCGAGTGCACCGTATAGCGATGTTTCCGTA